CTATTGAAGTTGAATAGGAAGTCATATACTGGCAATCTAAATGTGACCTTGAAATTGACCTTTGACCTACTTTTCACCATGAACTGAACTTTGGAAATTTTGGTTCCCTTTTATCTCCAAAACTAGCAGAGATAGGTCCATAGTTACTATTGAAGTTGAATAGGAAGTCATATACTGGCAATCTAAATGTGACCTTAAAATTGACCTTTGACCTACTTTTCACCATGAACTGAACTCTGCTAAATTCTTTCTCTTTTAACTCCAAACCTGGCAGAGATAGGCCCATAGTTACTATTGAAGTTGAATAGGAAGTCATATACTGGCAATCTAAATGTGACCTTGAAATTGACCTTTGACCTACCTTAACTTTACTTTGATTGTACCATTTTAAGTCATATATATTTTTTGCGTATTTTGAAAATTCTTGTTGATTGCATTTTTATAGCTTGTCAAGCATAAGACTGGTGGCTGTGTCCCTTATTTTGTGTATGTGGGGGGTCTATACGAATGCGCTTGCTCCAGCTGGTGGTACAATATTCGGAGGCGGTATCGCCTCTCTGATCCTCTAGTTACATTTTACACAATTGCTTTACATTGAATATAAAAAAGATTGGAGATAGATTGCCACATAGGTACCCTTACATAAGTAGGTTCATAAGTTGTGGTTGGTTCAACTGTAACAGTTATGGGAGTTTGTGATATGATATGTACTGCACGTAACTTCACATATAAGCACAGGATATCTGGCCCCCCAGTTCCTTGGCCGTGTGGAGGACAAGTTTTATTTTACACATTTTATACTCTTTAAATAAAGCTTATTATTATTATAATTATTATTATTATTATCCCAGGTGTTGTTCAGCGATGGGAATTGTTACAAGCCCAGGCCCAGGCCAAAGACGGGAGGCTGAAAAAGAGCAGACAGCAATGGCAGCAGTTCAAAACAGACATCAGAAATGTGATCTTGTGGCTGGATGAAGCTGAGGCTATTCAACGGACGCAGGTTATCGTGCCCAGTGATATCAAGCAGCTAGAGGTGGTGATTAGGAGGCACAGGGTGAGGGTTTCTCTGTGACTTTTGTCTCTTTTAATAAAATCTTGATCCAGATAGAAAAGTGATGAAGTTACATTGTGAAATGATGATTTCCAGTTTTGGTGGTAAGCTTTGTGATGAATAAAATATTCATTTATGGTTATGGTGGAAAAATTTTTGGAGGGTTTAATATGGTTTTTCATCTGTCAGGTGGTGATAAAATGTTTAAAGAGAATTCTTATACAAAAGTGTCTTATATGCTCTGTTCCAGGAGTTTCTCCTTCAGTTAGACAGTCGCAAGGCCATTGTTCTCTCCATCAACTTACTGAGTCAACAGTTCTTAGGGCAGGACAACAAGGAGAGTAGAAATTTGAAGGAACATTTACTGATCATGAACCAGAGATGGGAAAATGTCACTTCCAAGACCTCGCTGTGGCAGAAAAAGCTCCAGATGGCGCTGATGCAGTGCCACGATTTCCATCAGACAATCAAGGACTTGTTGCTGTGGCTAGAGAGTGTGGAGGCCAAGATCAAAGTGTGTGAGCCAGTGAATATCCACGATGACAAAGATACTCTGAGATTAAAATACAATAAATTCAAGGTACAGTATCTTGACAGTGATATTAGTTTCCATTTAATGTTTTTTTTTCTTTGTGGAAAAGTCTGTGCATGTTCAGTATTTAGTAGCTAGTACATGCATCTAATAAATAAATTGGTATAATTTGCTATTACTCATATTTGTATATTTAAAGACTTTCTTAATTATGCAATATGAGATTTTGATCTGAATCTGTGAGCATTTGCTCTCAAAGATTTTTTTCGCCTTTTTAACTTGCAGGAAGTTCAGACTGACCTTGAGAGGTCACAGCCAAGGGTGACCTCCCTGAAGGAATCCACTGACCAGTTACTGTCCAGCACAGACTCCAGTGAAGCCAAACACGTGAGGGAGAAGATGATCATCATTGACACCAGACTCAGGACCTTATCCCGCCAATGCATGCTGTATATCAGTAAACTGGAGGTGGCATTGGGAATTGCTCAGAGAGAATCTGTAAGTATATATGGGTCTGGTTCTCTGGTGATGATGGCGAGACATCATTTTATATAAATTTCTATTTAATCTTTTTAATTCACCTATGAAATCTATCAGTTAGCTATTCCACATCGAAATACCCTGTAGATATTTATTATCTCAAAGCTGTCTTTTAGATTGCATATTAGATTCATCAGTTATCATGGTTTCTGAGATAATATTTGTTCTATTTGGACCTTAAAAGAATGTAAAGAACAGTAAACTATATGTCTTAAGTGGTCATTTGACAAGGAATTGTCTCATTCAGTGCATTGTTTGTAGTTTCTTAAAACATTTTAAGATGTTGAATTCATGTGTCCCTTTTGTGTTTTGTTTTGTGTTCCCAGCCATTGTCCTTTAGTCTTGACCTGTCAGATAGTGCCAACAGAGGGCAGTATCGTACTAGCACACCCAGATATAGGTCAAGGTCATCAAATTCTCCATTGACACCCACCGGTTTCTCAAGACAGGTAAGTTTTTGGAAATGGAAGTACGAAAAAGGGTTTCACAATTGTAAAAAGAAACTAAAATGTGAAGTTTTTGTGTATTTGGAGAGTACATATATTGTGGTCATGTTTGTTATTTGATTTCTAAAAACAACATTTGTGTCAATTATTGCTCTGTAGTGGTCACCATGTGTTTTCGGCATCACTGTTTCAGTTTTTCACTTAATTTTATCTTCTTCAACAAATCTGTGAGATTGGCTTGAACTTGTTTGGCTTTCTTTATTTTGCTCTTCACACAGATAAGGCTTAAAGTCTTTGTGCTTACAATATAGCTTTCCAATTCGAACATTAGAAGTGCATTTATGGAAGAAAAACTTACATTGTACATTCTTGTCTAATATATATATATATACACACACCTGAATAAGGAAAAAAAATAAAGAAAAAATGACCTCTTTTTATGTCGTTTCAAAATATACATAGCCAGTTGCTTTTGAGAAGCCACTAAGTCAGTTTTCAGCTACTTTTAGGTCTGGAAAGGCAAGGTTGTGAGGAGTATTCCTATGAAACTGATGTACATTATTATTTTTTTCTTTTTCCCCAGCTCTTGGCCATACGAACAGAGATAGTGAAGGAACATGCAGAGGCTCGTGCAGAAGCTGAAACGTAATAGTTGCTTCTTAATTCCATTGCATGGCAACAGTGCACTCTGTATTTATGCATGTCTCTGTATCCTAAAACTGAAACCAGAGTTTAATTTTTCGGTGTCAGGAATGAATCCTCTCATATTTCATGACATTTTCTATCCATATAGTGCTTTAGTGTAAGGGTTTCATACATGTATTAAAAAGCAGTGGATGAACAAACTCCTTTTACCACTTCTACTTCTACAATAGTTTCCTTTCTGATCCTTTTTTACCTAAAGGTTTCAGTTTTACTGAGAGACAAATCATGTGAACTGTTTTGTCTATGTACTAGTATTTCACGGGTTGGGATAATACACGTGGCAAGGAAAAATATATCTAAAGCATGTACATAGGTGTGTCCACATTTACTTTTTTAATGCCAAAATGGATGTGGTTTAAGCATGAAGCTTTTCTGCAACTGCAGACTAATTGTGGTCGGTGTTTAATTTTGGTGATTGACCTGCATCAGTATTACTTAGCAATATAACACATTGCTTGCATATTAAGGAACATTACTTTTTTTTTTACAAAAAAAAAAAAAAAAAAAAATTATTTATTTTTGCATGGTCATATTAACGAATGATAAATCTGGAAAAAAAAAAAAAGGTATTTCTTACATATTATTAACCAAGTTAATAGGTGCTCTTTGTAGACCCAGGTATATATGTATTAGTTCATCTGTAGTTTAGACAATTCTTGCATGGAGGCTTCCAATTCATCTATCCAAATAGTCTGATTGTGTTATAATTCTTTCAGTATGCTCTTTGAGGGATGTTTTCTTTTTCAATATCGAATTAAAGGCTCTTTCTTTGAGCTGTATTTTCATTTGGCTTAAGGACTGAGAAATTTTATAATGAAAAGAGATATATAATTGTCATTATAAACATGCATCTTAACTTAAATTGCAGCTCGATGAAATGCATTGTTTTCTGCCAAATAGTTAACTATTACTTAGGAAGCTAGACTTGATCTGTCTTTATTAGAAGTTTTTAATTGATCCTATGATATCATTAGTGTTGAAAGTTTTATAAAGTTAGCTATGAATCAAAACGGCTATTATTCCTCCCAAATATCAGCTATAGTAAAAACAGACATGTCAGAAGAGAAAGCTTTATTGTGATGCATTTTTAACATTTAATACAATTAAGGTGTGGTGTGTCATTAATATACTAATGATGTATTCCACTTTATTTGCCAGTAGGTTCTACGTGCATGTAGATAAATATCGCTAATACCTAATATGTCGGATTGTTTCATTTGAACAAACCTTGTATAAATAACCACCTAAAGATGTGTTGCTTATTGCTTTTTGTTTGCTTGACTAACCCCACCAACAGCTTGGTTTGGGAATTTTTACTACTTGCTTTTCATTTTAAATTATTTTTAGGTGACAAGCTCACACTGGGGCCCTGCATGCTTTAGGTATTCAAATGTTTCTGTTCCGATTCGTTAGAAAGTCACTGCAAATTTAAAATAAAAAATGAGGGCTTTTTCATTTTAACTCAGAGAGAACTGAGGTTTTCAACCTTGGTCTGGATGTTCTGGCCATGGATTATTTTACCAACAAGTTAATATCAGAGTTTGTACCATCATCCAATCTTAGAATGAATTTGCCCTCACCTGTTTTGCATGAATTAATGGATAAATACTATAGTATTAGAAATATCTGTGATCTTAATTGTTGTCCCTGATTTCTAGCCTGATTTCTATTTAAATTTAATGCTTGTTTGAGAACTAAAATGCTTAGTGATAAAACTAATAATGGTAGCAAAACCGATATTTTGAATTAAAGCAATTTTCAAAACAAAATATCATGTAGTAACAGATAATAATAACAAATTTAAAGTAGAATTTTCATGAATTTAAAACCTAGCTCTCCATCTCTTCCTTATGTAGAATAGTACCAGTAGAATAGGATCCTACTGCTGAAGAAATAAGGCTTTGGTAGTTTTATTTAAATATAACCTACATGCATAGAATTAGTTGCTAGGTGTATAGAGCATAAAGTATTCTTTGGATTATAAATTTAAATGTTTAAATGTTAGAAATGTGAGATGTGTAGTTGATGTACCTTCAGTCATAGAAAGTAAGTCTTCTATTCTTTTGCTTGATATCAGAACTCTTAAGTGTATGTAGTTTTGGTGGCCATGGAGCTGTTTTATGAAATGCTCATATCTATTATAGCATGATTCACAGACAGCATGTTTTGACAGATATCATGTGGTTTTGCACACTTTTGCAATAGCCAAAGGGGGAATATTCCACTATCAAACAGCATATGTCATCTTGCATTTTTGTAGCAGTTAATCAATGTATTGTAGAGAATTCCTCATGTCAATATTTTCTTCTTTGACGTATTACTATATGTCAGTTATCTGCTGCCTATTTATCCTAATAGACCTAATATGCTTCAAATTCATCGAGTTGTACCAATAGTTTTCCTTAAACTTAAAATGACATTTTATGTACTCCTCTTGGACCTTAAAAATTTCAGGATTTTTCCAATATAGTAGTGATTCCGTAATCAGTTTTATAAAAATCATAGAAATGGTTATGATGAAATTACAATGCACTATATGATGATAACTCTGAGGATTCACTGAAGGAGTGATGGTTAGTTAACTGTGGTATCAATGTTATTACTAATGGGTGTCCAACATATATATATATATATATATATATATATATATATATATATATATATATATATATATATATATATATATATATGTGAGTGGTGTCTCAGGGCAGGACTTCAGTGTATTCTCTTTTAAACCCCTCTGCTTCTTATGTAACTATTGTGCCTGCATACTTACATGTGTACTAACATTAACGGTGCTTTTCTTCTAGGTTATTATAGCCAGAGGCTGTTTCCAGACAGTTGAATATATATATCTATGTCTAAATATATTTTTTAAACAAATTGTATTTGAATAAAAGCTACTGAACTCGAAGTATTTCTATTTGGTTTTTAAAAATGCAGTTTCATCTTGTTGATACTTTGTTTCATTTCTTCATTATTTTGGCCAAACATTTTAAATAATCTCTGTGCTTTGTTTTTTCCCTCCAGTACCGAAAGTCCCCTTGAAGGTGCAGTAGCAGTCAGACGACGCCGTCCAGCGGCATTTCTGGTGAGAGTGTGTCGCACAGCGTTACCTCTTCAGATATTGCTGCTCCTGTTGCTGGGCATTGCTTGCCTCGTACCAATGAGTGAGGAGGATTTCATGTGCGAACTGCGCAACAATTTCCAGCGCTCCTTAGATCCCATGTTGACTTACTTGGATGGTCCACCTCCAGTGTAAGCCGTGGTGCATATGAGATGTATAAGCAATGGAAGGGAGGATTATTCAAAAAATTAAAAAAGGATTAAAAAAAGAGAGAGAGAGAAAACCTCAAGATGATCCTATCAGGGATTTCACTTTTATCCAGGTTTATGCAGTGATCAACTGGTTCACATGCCAATACCACAATGAAGTTCTTAATAAGAAAGTTCTTCAGAGATCAGCACAAAATACACAGTGTATGTATGACTTTTTTGTTGGAAGGCAGCAGCTAAAAATGCCAAGTTGTATACTTGTAGAAATACATAGATTTTGTAAATATACTTAAGTGCATTGCATTTCAAATCATGTTTGTCAATCAAGTGATTGCACATAGTAAATATAATTAACAGTTGATGTTGATAATCTTTTTGTACATTTGTGTATTTTATGTAAGAAACAAATAGATGAGTGTCAGTTTTTTTTGTACATACTTTTGTTCCACTTTTGATGTAGAGAGATATTTTACTCATGCTTACTGTTTGTGCTTTCAAAGCAGTTGTATGATATGATATGGTATATGTATATTAATTATATGGGTTATGGGGTATATCTCATGGTTTAGGCTTTACAGCTGTTCTTATGCCATGTTAATGGTCAGATATTTAATTTATCATGTATTTTTCATTTATTTTGATTTTTTTTAATAGTGCTGTTGAGACAAGCTTGATTTTGCAGTGTTGGCAGTAATGTAATTAGAAGGCAAAGTAGTGCCTGTGTTAAATTGCCAGCCATTTTTATTTATGCACAGGTTGTGCCTGTAAGAAATCATGAGTTTTGATAAGCTTTCATGAAGTGATATTGTGTATTAGATATGCAAATGCAAACTGTGAAATTCCAGTGAATATTTAAGGTACCTGCTGTAAATATAACACATTGGCCATGAATGGTCACACAGTTTACTAAAATGACTTATTGATTTTGTTTATTAAGTTTATTGTAAAAAGAGTTGAATATTCGGTAGATGTATATTTATCTGCAGTTGATTATGTGTTAAAGATGTCTCAAATAGATGAAGACACCAGGTAGGTCCATATACATATAAATATGGAATTAATATTCAGTTTGATATAATTATTTGCCAAGATGTTGTGATCATTGCTTTTAATTTTGTGTTGACAGAGATCAATCCTATTTTTAAATATTCAGAGAGCACTATAGGCAGCAACGTGTTGCAGTTGTTATATTTTATTACTGTTTTAGTGTCTTGAAATATGAGTTTGCTTTTTACAGAAAATGTTATCACAAAGGAATCTAGTTTTACACAGTTTTGTCCATGTGTGATGTGATCACAGATTTCATATTGAATATGTATATGTCAAATCAGTAATAAATGATTTTGATAATTTTGTCCTTCTTTATTTTTCTTATACATTATGAGAAGATGAAATAGTATTAATGGCTAAAACCGAACATTTTTTCAGTCACTAACAACCCTAAATATAAAATAGTGTACCTGTTTCAATGTATCTGATTATTTTAAATGTCAGAATGTAAAACTTTTAATGTTGTAGGAATATTATAAAACAGTTTGGTTACAGACAATGTATAGATTTTTAATTTTTTGATGTAGCTGTTTTCACAATTTCAAGCACTTTAAACCATTGACTGCAATTCAGTGACTTAAAAGTATTAGATCACAGGCGAGCACAAACTCTAATCAAAAGCATCCATCATGTCATTGTGGAAATCAACTGAAGACCATAGGAGGAGCAAATACATCCAGAAGAAACAATTCATATCTATGTGACAAAAGAATCTGGGATGCATGTTTAAAATAAGTAGACTTTATCATCAATGAGACGTTTTCCTGTAAGTATTGATTGACATCACAACTTTTATTAGCACATAGGTGTTGACTTACAGTATATTGCTTTGAATTGCTTTGTTACCAAATTCAAAATCTATTATACTAACCTATATATCAAATTCAATGCAGTAATACATATACAATTGTTAGAAAACTAAAATTAAGCTAGTTAAAATAAATGACAGATGCTGAGAATCGGTGATATTTGAAAATGGTAATTTTAAGCTATAAAATGTACTTGAAATTTCCTATTATCAGTGAGGCAGAGGGCTAGTTTTAAAACCAGAGAAAGCAACCCATAAAGTGAACTTTTTGAAGTCTTTTTGGTTCTATCAAAATATATAGCATCATTTATCCACAGCAGTGTTTCCGATTTACCCCTTATTAAAATTTTTTGAAATCAATAATGATAATAGAAAACCCATTTTCAAATGTGACAAAGTAACACAGGAACTGCTATTAAACATACTTTGTGGTGACAATGATAGAGATTTTAAAAAAATATCACTTTGGATGGTTACACAAATGCCAAAGAAAGAAAGAAATACTGAATTTGTTTTTTCTCTATGACAAAAAGGGACACCAATGACAAAAATGCAACAAATAATGACAAACTCGAAGTATATATTTGCATTTAGGTCTATAACATTGTGGACGGATGTTTCTTGCACTAAAAAATGAGCTGTACAAGAAAAATGAACCTGGCTTTTTATGGCTTTATATAAAAAATTTGCTTAAAAAACAATATGAATAACAAAATGATGATATGAATGTACCAGTGTGTATAAATATATTCCTCTTTAAGCATATCACAGAACTTACCATGTATCATATTGAAATACTACACTTAAAGCTACAGTAATGTATAATTAACAGGAAAGCTATTACGATAGTAGCACAGCTGTGCAATCATGCACAAGATTAAAATGGTCTGAGCAAATGTCAATGACAGAACAAAATACAGTGACATTTCGGTCACATTTTCAGAAATACATATCTGGACAGTACAAATTGATATTACAGATCTTAAAAGTCATCATCATCCGATCTTGCTGTAGATTTTCCACTATTTTCATCATTACCAGCATCATCTTTTTGATCTTCATCTTCACTATACTCAAAATCTGACGTAATATCTATGTCGTTGTCTTTACTAGTTGAGGCAGCAGCAGCATTCTCATCATTTCTAGAAGTCTCTGCCTCTTTGTTTTCTGGGTTAGTAGAACCCTCTTTATCAACAGTTTTATCTTTGTTGAGTTTTTCTGACAAATCAACTGAACTCTGCCTGCTAAGAGCACCATTTTTCTTGCTATTGCTATCATCAATGTTGCTTTTTGCATCATCATCATCACTTTTCAACTCACTTAGCTTGTCTGAGACTTGTCTTAAAAGTTCATCAGAATCCAATGGTTCTTCCTCTTTGTCCTCTACATCAGTGGATTTTTGATTTTTCAGTGTAAGTGCTTTGGTTTTTGTTAAGCCGTCGTCATCATCATCATTATCTGCCTCCTCTGAGGTCTTTTTTTGCTTTAATTCTGTGGATTCTTCATTTTCCGTTGTAACCGTCTTGGTTTCTGTTATGTCATCATCATCTGTCTCCTCTATGGTCTTTTTTCGTTGTAATCTAGGTCGTGGTCTAGGGCTGGGCTTGGGTTTATCATCGTCTTCAACAGATGACAGATGTCTAACCTCCTTTTCTTCACTCAGTGCTGATGACATGGCGTGGAGTGACCGACGAGGCGGTGCTTTGGGCGTCAACTCTGGAGTCACTTCCTCTGACACTGGCTCAAGCCTGTCATAGGTCCCTTTCATGTTTAGAAGGGTGCTCCCACTGCCATCCTCTTCGACTTCTGTCAAGTATGTATTTTTGTTCACATCCACTGTATTACCATTCACCCAACCTAAATCACCGTTTTCTTTTCCATGGCCACCACCACCACCACCACCACCATTCATCCCTTTGTATTCAAATTTTCCATGTCCTGTATTGTTATTGTTCACATTAGTTTCGTAATTTTTCTGCGAGTTAAAACTCGAAGATCCATCCAAGCCTCCCTCCAGTTGAAGCCTCGTTGCCAGTTTGAGATAATCTTTGTCGAATTCATCTTCGTAGTTAGCACTGTGGTTATTGCCGAGTGTAGCAGACCTGGGTTTGACAAGAGGCGGCACAGACGTGGTGGTCCCCATGCCCACATCATCTGTGTCTAAACTGCCATCGTCCTTAGGGATTCCAAGGTCTTCCCTTAGAGTGTCCACCAAGGCACGCATTCGGCTCTGAAACAAGCAAAAAATTTCTACATCAATTTGGTCCACATGAACACAGTGTGCAATCTAATAGACTTTTGTAAAAATACAAACTGTTTTACACATGGTCTCAATCTCTAATTATTTCGCATTCTATAAGCACCATTTTAAATGACAGTTCCATGAATACCATATTATTGCCGAGGACTGATTAAAATGAACCTTTATCAATTACTGCAATTGCTTTAACAATGTAAACGAGAACTCACTATTTTCAAATCTTGTTTTCTTTTTTCGATGTGGTGTTCAAACACCTGCTTAAGCACCCTAAAAATAACAAATTAAGCCTTATATACAATCCATAAAGAACTATATATATATATATATATATATATATATATATATATATATATATATATATATATATTCAAATTTAAAAGATGTATCAGGATTAAAGAGAGTTGGATAGAAGTTTGAAAAAATGCCAAAATGAATTTAACAAGCTTCCAATGTTTGCAATGCATATCTTGCTGTTACATCTATAGCCTATCTCAACAATATGAAAACAGTCTAATATAAAATACAATACTGGAAAATTTACTACTAGTGATATAAAATTAGATGATTAAATAGTAATAATAATAATAACCTGTTTGTAAAAATCCCTCTTTCCAGAACATCGTTGGTAACTTCTTTAATAAACTCCAGATATTTTAGTTCATCCTCCCTAGATAAGATAATGATTAATAAAACAATTATTTAATTAATTGATATAAACATTTGTAAACATTTAAGTCTAGAACAGGAAAAACCATTTTGGCCTCTTGAGGTTTTATGTAATGTTGTTATATAATTTCTTTCTCAAGGTAATTCATTCCATAAAGTCAAGTCTACCTGAAAAATGCTACATACTTCAAATGACGGAGTAAATTTTATACTTACTCATCTTTGACTCGTTGCATTGTACTTGTGTTTGAGCGGCTCAAATATTTTCTTGACCCTGACATGCTAAATAAGCAGAAAAAATATTCATGTCATATCAGCATCTCATTTGACTGTATCACATTACTGCACATTTTATTGTTGCACAGCAAAGATGTCCTTCTAGTAATAGCACTATGTATTGTGAAATAAGACTTCATGCCTCTTGTGTAATGATGTTAAATGAGTAAATGGTCATATACTATGCTACAATCACATCCTAACTTCCAGAGTCATAGAAGAGTCAGTCATGTGAAAAAGACCCTTTGATGAAGGGTCTTAACATCATGCTTCATAGATAAAAAAATGAAATCAGATCAACTTTTTTTTTTTTGAATACTTCTGAACATTTGTTTCAGAACAGATCTGAACTTATTTTTGCTCAGAATAACCAAATATTCCATGCAAAAAAAAAAAAAAAAACTAATTCAAATTCTATCTTCTGTCTTGAAGTCAGGTTTGTTCAATATTGTAATCATAATTTTAACCAACCTGTCTTGTTGCTGATGCTTGCCAGTCATGTCCAAGTAGCTGTTACTTCTGTCTTTTCTCAGGCCCCCATGGGCCTGCATGAGTGACCCCCGCTGGTGATCTGGCTCCAGTTCATGCTGCACATGGCTTCCAGCTCTGACCTGAGCTTTCTTCTCCTGTTCCTTTAACCACTTCATGTGGTCAGCGTCGAGAGAGATGTCCAGTGGAGGCACAGTTCCTGGAATGAATAGTTAAAAAAATTAGTTTTAAATGTGTTCATGTTATGTAGATACAATATATTTTATGTACAGCCCTTCTGTCTATTATAACACTTGCTTCAATAAGCAGTACCAATTTAAGTTTTGCTAGAAAAGAAAACAATTTGAGTAATTTTTTGCAAAATATTTGCCAGAATATTTCAAGTGTATTTACATGTCCACATGTAAGTTAAAAAGTGGTGTTCCTAAAAAAGTAATGTACTGTGTATGTATCTAAAAGAGAAAATGTTAAAATTTGGCTTGTTTACAGCCCGCTACAACATTTCAAAATAATAAGTTTTATCTGATTATCTCCAATCATTCCAATTATCTCATATCATTAAAAGCATGAAACCTATGATATATATATGCATTTAACAATAAAAGAGAGCCAAGGACATCTTTCTTACCTGACTGCCTGAGTCTTGAGAAATCCCGACTTTGCAAAGTCTCATCCATCAAATCATATGTGTCCGTGGGTGTCTCTCCTCGAACTGAAGGGTCGATACCCCTTCTCTTGTGTACCTGTTTCTTAGGCGGTGGGTTGTAAAACTTGTACTGAGTCAGCTTTGACGACTTAGTTGACTTGAGAGTCCTTGGGGTAAAAGGTTTCTGTGGCTCAGTAAATTTATGTCCCCTGGTATCTAGAAGGTCTCCGCCTTGTTTTCTCCTAGGGGTTCCCCCCTGGGTTTGGCTGATACTTCCCTCCCTGGAGTCAGGGATATTAGAGGCCATGGGACGTGGGCTTTTGTATGAGCTTGGGGATTGTCTTGAATCCTTGATCATTCGGTCTAAGAGCTGCATATCACTTGCTGTGGGACGTCTCCTGTTTTGGTAAGGGTCATAATCTTCCCCGTTGTTCTTTGCATACATTCTAGCCTCCTCCTCCTCTTTTTCTTGTTGTGTTTCATGTATTAAGTTCTTAATTAATGCCATTTCTTCTCGCGATGTGCCCTAAAAAGTTCAAAATCAAATTAAATTATCTCTAAATCAAATATAAAACAAGTAAAATCAAGCATAATATTATTAATAATGCAATTCTGAGCTGGAATAGTCCTCAACCTCCTTGCTTTAATTTCATCAAGAAGGTATTACTTACTATTTCTGGGTCAAAATCATCCTCATCTTCCTCATCCTGTATTTGTGCAGTTGGCACAGACTTGGCACCTGATGGAGGACGACTCTTAGATTTCTGTTGCTGTGCACGTCTGTTCTGGTCACGAACTATGGAAGAATATAGGACAGTTAGTATATACAGATGATCAGTACTCAATACATATATGTAACATGTTTGCGCATTGCACCAAGCAATGTGAACAATCTAATTATGTACCAACCTCTCTATAATAATATCAAAAATGACATAATTAAAACAAATTCTAATTTTCTACAACCAGACAATTGACAAATTGGGACAATAGTCATTATTACTTAAAGTTTAATTATCTTCTGGTGACTTATTCAACATATTTGCCATCTACTAGTACTCTCTGTCCTTTACTTTTCTATTACCTTTCTGACTGACAAGCCAAGCTTTTGGAACTGACATGTCAATAGCACCTTAGATAATAAAATGAAAATGATAAATGTCAATCATTTAATATGCGAAAAAGATAGAAGATAAAAGATCCTTGTTATGATTTTAAATGTGTTTTAGAAGACCAGAAGAACCTTTTTTTAAACTAAAAGAATATCTTTAGCATATAGGAAATTGTACACAATCAAAAAAGGATCATAAAAATTCAAAAACCTCACCATAATGACATTTGTGACAAACTCAGTTCTGAGGCTGCATATTGTGTGCAGATTCATTTCAAACTCATATTTATATATGTTGTTTTTTTCTTTAACTGTTTTTTTTTATGTTGATATCTAAATACTTACAAAAATTTTAGTACTTACTTTTTGCAGTATTAACTTTCCTGTAGTGAGCATTCATGTGATCTAGGACCAGGTACTGTGAGTTGAGACTGTTCTGTGTGGGAGCAAATGCTGTCACAAAATTCAATAATAACACATGAATTAAAAAATACATGTAAATACACATTACTTTTTTTTTTCATGTAAGTAAATTCCTCCATAGCTTTGAAAAAATGTTAATATGTCTGATTACTATGCAGAAAAATTAAAAGCAATTATTTATTAACATACTGTCACTTCACTCTACATAATAAAGAAGCAAGTTTAGTAGATGTTAGTACTTACGGCTACTTTTTAGGATGAGGTTTCCCTTCATTCCATTTGCCAGAGCAGGTTGCAGAGAATAGACTACAAACAAGTACTTGTATTGTTACATCTAAATCAAAACTTACCATGTGGCATTTACATTTTGGATTTAGAAAAATAAAAACTGAATATTTTGGAAAGCCAGCTAAAAGGTTGCACAAAAAGGTGTATTATATTATGACTTGAGAAATGACATGTATATTTCTATAAAGGGAGCACTAGCTTTCTGCAAGGAGTTATAACAATTATAACTCCTTGCTTTCTGTAAGTACACGTATGAATTGAAGGCATAAAATCAGACTAAAAATCTGAAACTTTAGGGATGTGGGCTTTCTGCTCCTAGTGTACATCAAACTGGATTAAATATTACAAAAATAATAAACTTCATATAATTTAATTTTAAGGTTATAACGCACCACTCCAAGTAAACCTGCATCAACACGTACTAGTACGTTGCAAGTAATATTATTCACGCACTTTATACGTAAAAATCCTGGTGCATGCCGAGATGAATCATTAAAGACCAACACGCAGCACAGCAACCAGTCCATAATATCAACCAACGCATTAAGATTAACATACATTGTAGAGTCTACATCTCACAACTTTGTTATTTTTTATCTTTGAGCAGACACTTTGGAGTCAAATATTTGGAAATAAAAAATATGCACGCAGCGAATCTGTCAAATATAAGGTCTCACCTGATTTTCTTGGCTTCGATGACATGTTGAATGTTAACAAATGGGAACGAAAAGGGTGTAAATGTCGTTTTAAACTCCGAAAACGGAGTTCTTTTTTTCGGCTTAGTACGCCATATTTGTTACTATCAACCACACAAATTGACCAATCAAAATGTCCGTCTTATCCAGGGCTGCCTTTTCAAATACTCTCCAATAGCATTGCATACTCTCAAACCTCTCTCTGCATAATCCCAATTCTGATCCGAGCACATATGTTGTGACAAGCTGGCACAAACATGAATTTTTTATGACAAGAGGTCGATTTTGAGTATCACTTCATAAAAAGTAGGTTTTCTTTTTCTATTGATCAGTTTTTTCCCTCATGTTACTTTAGTGCAGCATATCCAAATTAGACCCTCGTTTTCGATTCGTGATATTTATGAAAAGATGAAGCGTTATCGAGGGTCACTCGTGTTTATTTAAGCGTAAAACTACATAGTGATGTTAGCACACCTGTTACTCACTATAGCGCAACAGAAAGCTATGTTTGTTATTCTTCTTTGGTGAATTCCACCGCATTTCAAACAAACTGTAGTACAATCCAGTCGGATTTAGGTGAGGAAAAGAAGTTTTATTAACTTTTTAAAAAATTAATTAATATTATTGAACACAAGTTTACAGCGGTCGAAAACGTTATTATTTGGATTCTTGTACCAGTACATGTATATACAAAATATGTGACATATATATGGTTGAGTCCTAACCACGAAAATTTCTTTTGGTTTATCAGTTTTTAATGTTTTAACACATGTAAAACTGGTCACTGTGTGTTTGGACGCTTTGCAAAATCATCCTTTTGAGGTTTCTAAACAACAGCACATGATAATTAACTAGTATACAAATATCCATATGGTCAGTAATATCCATATGGTCAATATTAATGTTAATGATCAGTTATCGTATTAAAAAAGATACTTCATGACTGAATCGTTCAACAGGTATTGTTCTTAGCATGCATTTGGCATGAGTTATCACAGGATTCTGGTAATTAACAGCATCCCTGCCAGGAACGCGTCTAATTAACTTAATCATTATTATTGATCGACCAGTTAATTATAAATACATGGACTTTAGTTGAGTGATTGATGATTGATTGTTTGATTGATGAGTCAATTGATTTATTGATTTTGAGGGATCTGTGAGTTGCAGTTCATTTGGCATTTCAAAGAAGTATAATTCAACCTTAAATTTGGAAAGTCAAGCTGTATTGTGGTATGCCAAATTTTAAAATGAACTTTTTATCCTTAAAGAATACTGGGTATAATTAATCCTTTGCTACTAGCAGAAGGTCATAACAATCTGTTACAGGAAATTAAGTTCTCTGGCAGTATTTTACAAAGCATGCCCTGGCACTATCTATTATCCTGAATATATTTTCAGTTAATGAGCTTAATTCTTCTTTTTGTTTTTCACTATGGTGATTATGTATAAATTATCACTGCTAGGCTCAGTATTGATATTTGTTTTCTCTTTTTTGTCTGAGAAGTGATCATCAGGGATGAGAAATTAATGTATTGATCTTTTCCACCTCTGGTAATTTATCACTTCCTTTTTTCCTGACAATCTGACAATCAGCTTTGAGAGGAAAAACGATATTAAAAATTGTATCTCAAGGAATTGAAGTGTGTCCTTCTCGTTACGAGTGCCACATTGGATATTGAATAGATATTGAATTCATTACTTAATGTAGCAAACATCGTGTTGTCTGAATTAACGTTTCTAATAGCTATAGAACACTGTTATAAGTGTTTGATTTAGAGGTAAATACCAGATGTCAGAGGCACAGAAACATTATTGATAAGTCGTTGATGACAACTGTGGATGTGCCTAAGACAGTGGAAAATCAATAGAGCATCTTTAGAAGACTGGCTGTGTTTTACAGCTTATTCAAAGAAATTCAGGTGAGATGGACCTTGTGAATTTAGATAAAATGTACATAAATTATCGGTCTGGACAGGATGGGCTGTAGTTAAGATTTAATCAATTAATTGTGTGTATGGTATGGATTTAATTGGATACAGTAATCATATTTTAGGCTCGAGGGCATTAACAGAGAGGTCTCAGATTGAATTACAGGTAACATGTATGTGTAGTCAAGGCTTGTAGAGTTTAACAATTTAAGGCATCTGATCTGGGATTTTCCCACCAGAATTGGATAATCTGTATGAAAAAAAATTCTCCTACGTACTTGTGAATCTGTGCTTGAACTGTTCCTTCCCTTGGATTGGACATTTTATACCATTTTAATCGATAAATTAATATTACTTTTGGTCAAGCCATATTGCAAACACTATGGGACTTGTTTTAAAATGTCAAAAAGACATTCAGTGGCTTTTGTCTGAAAGTAGTGGTACATAGTTTTAAAGCACAACATAAACAGATTTTATCTTTGTTTTTATTAGGTGAAATGGTTTTACATAATAATAATAATAATAATAAATATTATTATTATTATTATTATTATTATTATTATTATTATTATTATTATTATATCCAAAATCGTTCTGGTGCAGCATATAAACTTCCACATATATCTCTAGTTTCCACATATGTTTCAGGTGAAATTCCGTCATCAAATATTTAATGGAAAGGGTATGATATCAGTTGTGCTTATAAATTATGTACTTTGATATATATTTGTTCACTACATAGTAAATACGTGTGCTTGTTGAGAGGAGAAATTGATCCACACATACATGACAAGGATAGTACTCAATATAAGTGTTTAGTCTGAATGATGATAATTCAAATGGAGAAATACGACTTGGAGCTGGTAACAAATGTAAATCAACAAAGAACGATATTTTTAATTGATATTTTTTATTTAAAAAAAGCATTGGATGCTATTACCCCAGTCCACTTTAATATGTGTGCACAAAATGGAGGCTTAAAGGATAAAGAGATTCCTTTGACCCTATAATTCTGCTGAAGCAAACATAATGTTCCTTTGAATGGTTATGCTTTGACTAAATGTATTGCAAATTGATATGTTTATTTTCAGGACCTATTTACTGGCTTAACCTGGTGAAACTTGAACCCTCCAGTCGGTTTTTTGGGGCAACATGAAGGGCTGGGTCTTAGCCTTGCTTTTGTTTGTTTGTCTCATATATGTTATCATTGGTGGAGTAGTGTTCCATTTCATAGAAACTCCAAATGAGGATACAGTGAGGACAACAGCTTTCACAGGATATCAGAATTTCCTTAGTAAGTATATGACTTTAACTTTGATACTCATGAATAGGCAGTGATTACTTATTTTCACTTTGCTGTGTTTTAGGCCAATGGTACAGAAATATATATTAAGATGTCTTATATCTGCAAGTATGATAATTACTCAATCTTTTCAATGGGCAAAAATGATCAAACTGTCAGATATGTAATTTTATAATCACAAAAACTAATTTTTATAAAGCATAACCATTTGAGGTGCTTAAACTGCATAGAATAGAACCATACTGTAGAGTAGCCCGCTTTTTAATTTCATTGCAACCACTAAATAGGAATATTCAAATTTTAAGAAATTATGACCATCAAAAAATCAGTATTTGTAAAATTAGCAATTTCCCCTATTGAATAAAGTCAAGGAATTACTGTATAAACAGGGTAGTATCATATCGTATCATATCATATCATATCTTATCATATCATATATCATATCAGCACTTTTCTGATTACTCCTGAATAAATCTGATATGGCACATTAAAATATTTGATAAAACAGCAAAATGAAGACATACATGTACAATATTATGTTTGTAAAGTCAGGGACTCATTATTTTGAAGCTTTTTTTTTATCTTATTCTAGAGAATTTTACATGTGTAAGTCAAGAGGAACTGGAAACTCTCATCAAAACCATTATTAAGGCTTATGACAGTGGTGTATTGCAGACCAATTCAACACAAAGTGCTTCTAACTGGGACATTCCAAGTGCTGTGTTTTTCTCTGCTACAATTATCACAACTATAGGTAGGAATCAAAAAAACTCCCAGCATATGAAAGAAATTAATTGATTTCTCCTTCTGTTATCCTAGATAATTATTTGCATGAATGCACCATTTGTATAACTGTGCAAGCTCCATTTGTATTTTCTACCTGAAATAAGATGTTTTTGAATTAGTGAATTAGATTTGAGTGGCAAAATGGTAGAGTTAAAATGATATGTGCCACACATGAACCTGATTGTTTATTCATTTCTGTATACTTGTATTTTATTAGTAATGATGCATGTGCCTTTATACTTTAATGAGATAGGAGGATTTATTATATGATGGTAATGAATACATTACAGTATTTACAATAAATTTATTTATAAATGGAACCAAAAAAAAAAAACAATCTGTAAAAATTTTTGCTTTTACCATTATATAACGTCAAATGAGATAACACCTCAATTAAATTTCTTTTAGGATATGGAAACATCTCCCCAACAACTGCAGGTGGACGTGCCTTCTGTGTCATATACGCCATATTTGGCATTCCAATGATGGGCGTTATCCTTGCCACGATAGGTCAAAAAATAAAAAATGGAGCTCAGAAATTGCGAAATAGATGCTTCCCAGGCAAAGAAAGTAGAAAAATCTGGATTATAAAGTCATTGCTTACGCTAGCATTGGGAATAATCCTGTTCATGATTGTTCCTGCTGGTATATTTACTGCTATAGAAGGCTGGACTTATGCTGAGAGTTTGTACTATACTTTCATCACTCTGACCACAATTGGATTTGGGGACTTTGTTGCTGGTAAGCATGCATTGAGGGTATTGTGTGATTAAGTACATATTATTTAAAAAAAAATATTGTCATAAATAGTGTGTTTCTTTTCTGCCCTACCTTAAAATGGCTAATTATAAGTTAGAGGCTCAGTATAGATTTACATGTTTTGCAAAGTGGTATTATGTAAGAGCTGTGCATTCAGTTTTATCCTGATGATGATGTAGACAATGATTATTTATACCAGATGATCAGTAAAGTCTGGTTAACTGTTCAAGGATTGCAAAAGAAGCAAAGTGTGACTGGCCAACCACAACACTGTTGCTATATTCACATGGGTGAAAAATTTCAGGATTATGCCTTATTATGGGATTTTCAGTCTGTGATTAGATGTGAAATTGCAAGTTATATTTTTAAGATTTTCAGTTTTTCACCCATGCATTCAACACTGAATATCATTTGGGTGTTGATTTAAGTATTTTGTACCATTATGTTAAAGGTTTTAAAATTGATATTTCTTTTCTGATTTTCAGGTGTTGAAAGTGATCCAGCCTTTCGGGGTGTGTATCGTTTGGCTGTGACTGGATGGATTGTTTTGGGCCTGGCCTGGGCTGCCGTTATTGTCTCCAACTTAACAGATGATGTAGAGGAAACAGCAAACAAAGTGGAATTAAAACTGCAGAAGGGAAAAGTAAAGAATTAAAGCTTTGTTTTTATACAGTAGTATAGTGTGGTTGAAATATAAAAAAATGCAACTATTATTTCAAGAATTTTTATTCTGGTTTTAACTGCTAATGACAAAGCATGCAAATGCAGTATTATGTTAGAGATCTAAATTGACTTGATTTTAATAATCTCTAAATTCATGGATTTAATGGTATTCTTATTATGAATGTACATTTAATTACTTTTGGATCTGAATTTAGGAAAACAAAGCAGCTGAAGGTGAAGATGAGGAAACAACAGAAAATGGCAAAGATTCAAAAGGAAATCCGTAATCTGTTGTTACCTTATAACACATGTAAGTAAAAGTTTATTGACAGGTAGATATTTTCAAAATAACAGAATTTATTATATAATTTAGCAATTTCTGTTAGTTTCAAAATTTTCTTTCGGAACAAGGTAACTCTCTTTTCCACAGATATAGAAATCATGTCATAAGAGTAAGCTTGATTTAATGTTGGCTTTTACTGGTATGACTGATTGATTCTTTAAAGAAATAACTAAGATGTATTTTTTTTCTTACAGAGAAAATATGGATAAATGGTGAAAAGAGATCAACCTCACACATTTTTAGCATTTCTGTGATAGTCGGTGCCTAAGAAATTTGATTTGCAGCTTTATCAACAATCTTTTGAGAATGCATATATTTCCCACCTTTTCAATTAAATGGCAATTAAAAAAGCTGGTACATAAAGCAATGTAGAGGCCTTAGCTATAGAGTTTTCATGAACTAGATTTAGAGAATCATATAGAATGGATAGTTTTTTTAATTTGTGTACCATGGGTCTTTTGGAAGATGGTCAGAATTTTTCAAGTTTACATTGAAAGGCATCTAAGTTTTTCTGTCGGAAAACGGTCAAAAATGGAGGATGGATCAACAAAGATAATTTGGAGGACTGTCAGAAAACATATCTGCACCTGTCCCTGAACTGTATAGAGGAATGGAATTACAGTAAAGAAAAAAAATAGTAGAGAGATAGAAAGAGTAGGACTTGCTCAGTGGTACTTCACCGCCCCCTTTCAATGTCAAGTGCCAGAACCTGCCATTTCCTACAACAGATGTAGGTTCACTATTGGATGAGATATAGTGGACAGACTTTGTATGTGGACATGGGCGTCCTCAGGGGGTGGGGGGGGGGGGTCAATGGGATCACTTGACCCCCCTGGGATTTTGGAACTGCATTTTTATTGTGGGTACCCAGCCAATCATTATTTCCCCCTTCAATGACTTTGACCTACCCTGAGTGTCAGAGCAACGTAAAAATTAGCTTGTAAATATTAAATATACCTTGGAGTCATTTTTACTAGTAATGGTATTGCTGATATGGGTAATATATGAAGTCAAGATCGAGCTGGCAATACCAGAATCTAGAACCTAGGGTACTCGGGGGCGGATCCAGAGACATTTTCTCACAGTCTTCCAAATTATCTTTGTTGATCCATCCTCCATTTTGACCATCTTCCGACAGAAAACATTAGATACCTGTCAATGTAAACTTGAAAATCTGACCGTCTTCCGGAAGACCCAGAAGATGGCCTAAATCTGCCCCTGGTACTTTGACCCCCCCCCCCCCCCCTGGAAAATTTTCTGCGGACGCCTATGTATGTGGTGCATTCTTGTCCTTATCATTCTGTGTCCATATTCTAAATTGTGTAAACAGGGTGTGCATCTTTTTTTGTCTTATATTATTTAACAAGAGTAGGAAGATTTTTTAATATTTATCTTACTTAGACCAATAGGGCCAGTATTTTATGGTCATTTTCTTATAAGAAGATAATTGAATATGTATTTTTATATTCAATTTATATTCAAATGTTCATAATAGTTTTGCTATACAGAATAACTTTTTAACAACTTACACTGTCATTCTGACTAATTTTCCTCAATTAACCAAATGTACCTTAAGCTTTTGATAATTGTATAAAGCATATTATTATGGAATAATTGCCTGACATCTGTGTTAAATGTTCTTCATTTTGTGTGATTCTGTAATATTTCATTTTCATTTCTAATAAAAATGATTTGTTATGTAAATTTTTTATTTGTGTTGATTTGCATCCCAAGAACCCCGTCGTAAAAGCTTATAAAAGATATTTTTAGTATATTTTTTTCTGTATCCAGCTATTAATAATAATATTTATTCATTTATAAAATCCACATAAAATATTCTGTATGCTTTACATGGGTAAAATGAACAGAATAAGATGAATAAAGTAAATGAAAAGGTAGTTAAGATATTAAGATGTGAACTAAAATGTGATTGAATTGATGGACAGGATTTTAAGATATTAAAAATAAATTGTACAATGTAAAAGATAACAGCCAGTCAAATCAATTATAAAACTTTTTGAAGATATGTTTTTAATTCTTTTTTTTAAAAAACACTTGATGAAGATTGACGTCAAATAACCACAAATTAATCAAAGCAGTCATTAATGCCACGATATTTTATGAATTAATAAGATACGTGTATGACAGATTTTGGCGTTTGAACCTTCAGTAATGTCAATCGTGCTAAAAAAAGAAGAGTGGATATGCTATTACAAACTCCCTGTGATTGATTATTATAAAGCGTAACGTGCCAAAACGAGAATATTTTTTGAAGCCGAAATCCTACCATGGTAAATATTGATATATCCCACGCTCATCTGACACCAACTCAAATAATAGCGTCCGGCAAACGTCAGAAGTCGATGAAAAAATGTATAACTAATATACTGTTCATGTGTTCAGGACTTCTTGACCTTTAATTAACTGTTGAAGGGTGCTGTGCATGTTGCCCATGGAACATGATGTTGAATTGAGATATGTTTTTTCAAGAATTTGTATATTAGGAGCTACTCGTACATGTATTAGAACGTCCCGGAAACAAACGAGCGATGTTACATAGTGGTTAAGAGGGGTGGGGTGCGGTGGGGAAGATAAAGCGATGTTGCTATTTTTGAGGGCAAGAAATGGGACTCCAATATTAGGTGCATATTTTATAGTGTGGTGCGCAAAAAATACAAGAAAGAACTATACTATTCTTCTTTTGTATCGAAAATAACTTAAATCAGTTTCAACTTGGACATAATAACGTTATTATGTCCAAGGTTTCAACAGTGTGCCTTCGAGAACGGATTTCGCATGCTGTTTACTGGGTCTTGGGTACTTCCAAAGATGATGCCCTATTTAAAAAACACCAAAGTATGCTTTAAGAGTAAATGCGATTCTTTCACTGCTTTAAATAAGCATATATATAAGTCTTAGCTTAGTTGACACATATACTTTATTTAGTCTTTTACGTACTTCAAGGCTCAGTCCTTGCCGTCTGAGGTGAACACTCACAGCTCAGAAATAGATTTTCTGGTTAATTTTTAACTCTGAAAGATAACGGCATCCCTTCCGTTTCTGTTTTGCATTGATACAACGTCACCCACGCGTGATCTTTATATCTTTATTTGCAGAGGGCGTGTAGTGCACGTGAGACGTTTATTAAGCAAAATAATAATAATAAAATTAATCCTTTCTTAATCACCAAGGTATATATCCTATGCAAAACTGTTGAGAAAATGACAGTCTATAAATTAAACCCGCTTTTGAGTTCTAAATTTTTGCTCTGTTACGAGAAAGATTCACCTGTCTCCACCTCAGTTACTGTTTTGGATTATGATATAACTTGGCGACGAGGGGAAAGTGTTGAAATCTCAAGGTAAAGTTATTAGTACATGTACTACTTAATTAATTAATTAATTAATTTGTTTATTTAATCATTCATTCGTTATGTGTGTTATATATACGTCTCTTTTTTTACTTCTCCCACGCGCCCATTTGTTTGAACGATGGTTTCTAAGTTTAATGTCATTCGAATTATTTCTAATTTCTATCGGTAAGACATGTACAGTATTGAGAAATAATCAAGGTTAATTCGGTAAATAAATATTTCCCAATTGTCTTGGTCTATATTTAACTTGTGACCTGACCCAAGTGGGGACAGCGCAGGACTATGAATGGGTAGCTTTCTCGTTACTTTTCAAAAAAGTAAAAGAAAGAAAGATGTTAGACGCCCACAGCGCGAACCAAAATAACATCGATGATATACTCATATGTTATTGAAAATAATCGTTTGGTTCTTGAGAAACGAGCGATTCTGAGACGAGACATCCTAAATTCTAAGTTCACTGTAATGGAATCAAATCCTTTTTGTCCTACATTTTGACCTCAACTCACATATAGGACTCGCCTTTTTATTGTATGGTGATCGTCCTGTTTATTGACCTTGTTGTTTGCGTCTCACTGTATTTAAAAACGTAGGTATAAAACACAATGCACCAACAGAAGACAATGTCTTAGTCACAAATCATGGCTCCAGACAGATGTTTGACTGTGCTCGTGCTTGTTGCGGGTCTTTGCTCGAGTTTTACGTATGCCAAGCTTCCAAACATTGTGTTTATAGTTGCAGATGATTTAGGCAAGTCACAGGTGTACTCGTACCTTCAAAAATGTCGAATTATATGTTCAGTTGGAAGAAAATATACTATATGATATACCAGTGGAATCAAAGCCGGGAGTGAATGGTAGGCCTATAGCTGCTTTCAAATTATATTACTCAAAGATATCGTTTTTAACGATATATGCCTTAGATCTATTGTTAATTTTTCAGGTTTCAACGACGTGGGTTTTAACAACCCCGATATTTTGTCTCCCAACATCGATAAACTAGCCAGCGAGGGAGTGATTCTCAATCAGAGTTACGTCCACCCCTTATGTACACCGTAAGTAACACGTGCGTCAAATGTATCTTGTTGTCTGTTAGAGAATACTGCACTGTAAGTCATACTTAAGTCAGTTTCATGGCTCACAGCTTTGTTACCAACGTTACATGGATACATGAACACATCTTACCCAATCAGAAACAGTGTTACAACAGTCTCGAGGGCACATGCATACATCCTAGAGCTACAGATAGTCATTATTCACTCATGAGGAAATGTGTTTTTTACTTTCGCTGTACATATGTAGATTACAAGGTTACATGACCCTGTCTGTAAATCGATTAGGGGAAACATTTCATATTCACTTAATGGCTCACAGTTGGAATTTTGTCTGTCCTTTTCCAGATCTAGAAGTGCCTTTTTAACAGGTCTGTATCCATGGAAGACAGGCTTACAACACGGGGCTTTATTGCCGCTGCAGCCGGTGTGTGCCCCATATAATGTCACCCTCCTGCCACAGGTACTCAAAGAACAAGGCTATGCAACACACTATTATTGGAAAGTGAGTTTTTTTATGCACAACTATGTTAATATTTTTTTTGTATTTTTCAGTATTATTACAGATACCCAAACCAAAGTCAATTTTTTTTTGGGGGGGGGGGGTTCCCGTCATGCGGGAACAGTAACCGTCCAAAAATGGAGGCTACAAGTCTGACCAGGCGTTGAGTTGGTTGAGTGCTTGTCAGATTGAACTGTTCTGACTAAACTGTAGTCCATTACATTATTTGCATAATCTATAAATGTAACATCTTTGTATACCCTAGTTTTAGCTTTTTCGTAATCATTCATTGATATAATCAAAGGGAATCATAAAACATGTATTTGGCCTTTTTCAGTTTGATTTGAAGTTAGGCGTTATATTCATCAGCTGATTTTTTTCTATTAACAAAAGATGGCACCTCGGCTTCTGCAACTGGAACTGCACACCAACGTACCGCGGTTTTGACAGTTTCTTCGGCTTTTACAACGGACAGGAAGATTACTATGCTCATACGCTAGGTGAGTTTAATTACCGCTATCTGTGCTGCTTGCTAACAGAGGTTAAGGAACACAATTATTATAGATAAATAAATAATAATATGTTTATTTGGAAAACTATCCGTTTAAGACGGGGTTAGGGATCAAATGTGCTGCATCCTTCTGTACAAAACAGCGTCAATAATATTTTCAAGTTAATTTTTTTTAAATCATACATGCGTGTAAATGATCTTAAACATTTCAAACTTATTAGTTGTTTATGTGATGCTTTTTTCAATCGCACTTCGTTTATTTATGCACTATCAAACCGAAAAAAACAAAAAACACGCCACGGAAAATTAACATGGACAACTGCACAAGATTTACAACATAACGAAGATGGTTCCAATAATCGTACTTTACTCAAACTTCTTGCACTGTGTTATTTGAAGGCGTTAACGCGTTGGACTTGCGTGACGACGAAAAGCCTGACCGGTTAGAGGGAGGAATCTACTCAGCGGTAAGAATGGTCACAACATTTATTGTAGTATGTCAACAATGACATTCAAGGAAATGCTATTTTTATTCGTTTCTACATGTACTTATGAACCAATACTAAATGTGCATGTATACCCTGTGATGTGAAAAGGTCATAATAATAATTATAATTATAATATTTATTTTGAGTCTAAAATCCAAATTTGTTCATAAGACTTTATGCCAATGAATATTATCAAAATATATAAATCGGGACCTCATAAAATACATTTACGTACATCTATTGATAGTTTATTTTCGCACGCTTTTTAACATTGTCTCGATTATCAGAGATTACACCACGTACACAAATGACAGAATCATACTGGCATGGCGCTCAATTCTTCTTGACATTTAGGAGCTGTTCGCCAAGAGAGCCAAGCGAATTATCACCAACCACGACAAGAGCAGACCTCTCTTTATGTACTTGCCTTTTCAGAATGTGCACGCTCCAGTACAGGTGAGCATTTCCTAATGATTTATACACTTGGAATTTTCAGCATGTTAAGATATATATCATAAATGGGTGTTAAAGAATATAAAATAAATCTTATATCTTTTCACAAAAGTTCACATCACATTTCCACGTAAATGGTTTGATCATGAAGTAGTTTATTTCAGGTACATTAACTATTTTGCCTTTGTTACCAGGTCCCACACCGCTATTCAAACATGTATGCTCATATTCAAGATGAAACCAGAAGAAATTTTTCTGGTACGTTCAGTATGTTAATTTATTCTGTGTGAATTACACAGCAAGTACTTTAAACTATACAAAAATGCATTTTTAAAACAAAAAGCATGGCATTTAAATTAAAGATATGTTTCGATTTTTTTCATTGTTGTACTTTTTTTTGGCCAATAATATTAAATTCCTGTAAACTTAAAGTCATTGTTCGACAGGTATGGTAAGTGCTATGGATGAAGCAATTGGAAACATCACAACTGCACTCAAAGAAGCTGGACTCTATGACAACACTCTGATAGCTTTTACGTCTGATGTGAGTATGTCATATACCAGTATACATATTGTGTACTACTGTTTCAAATCCATTAAATTTCATATGATGCAAAACATTCTGCTTAGCGAAAATCAGAGAATTATCTTTTCAGTGTCATTGGCTGACATTTTAAGAATCTTACTGTGTCTGAATAAGAACACTAAAGGTGGCCCAAAGATTTCTGTGTTTATTGCTCTTTAATTGAAGAATGGAGGTAACCCTAACCAGGGAGGGAACAACTTCCCCCTTCGAGGTTCCAAGATGACTATTTGGGAAGGTGGCACCAGGGCAGTCGCATTCGTCCACGGCCCTATGCTACAGAAAACGGGGTACAGGCACAACGGGTAGGTAACGGATTATGTTTGGGTAAAAGAAAAAGGATAGAGCTGCTTATGTTTGAGATCAAATTAAGGTGTTTATAACTTATACCTCCTTAATTCAATGTAAGACGCAAAGTCGTCTTTCAAGTCTAGTCAGACAGACAATCTGGGTCACATTTACTGGAGACCATTACTGAGGTACCAAAAAAAAAAAAAAGAAAAAAAGAGGGCTAAATAGAATAAACAGTTATGTACATTCCAGAAAATTCCACTAGTCTTTATTTTCCTCGTGAACAGACAATCTGGCTCACATTTATTAGAGACAATTACTGAGGTACCGAAAAAATGAGGGCGAAACAGAATAAACAGTTATGTACATTCCAGAAAATTCCACGCTGTCGATTGGTTCCAAACTTTTCTGGCGGTTGCTGGTGGCTCTCCAGGTAATTCAACCTAAAGATTTTTGAGTATAATCGAGACGATAACAATTTTCACTTCAAAAGGACTAATATAGTTACAATACATAAAACATGTGGAGTTACTTTATGAGTATGATCTTTTTCATATCTTTAGCCGAAAACATTAACATGGACAGTATGAACCTGTGGCCTATGCTGAAGTTTGGAATAGATTCCGCTAGAACAGAGTTCGTCTATCACTTAGACAATAAATTCCCTCCACTCCAAGGGCATGCCGCTATCAGGTACTGTTATTATTTCATTTATTTCTTTTACCTCCGCCAAGGAGGTTATGTTTTCGCCCCTGTTTGTCTGTCTGTTTGTTTGTTTGTTTGTCATCAACATAACTAAAAAAGTTATGGACCGATTTTGATGAAATTTTCAGGAACTGTCAGAAGTGGGCCAAGGAAGAGGTGATTAGTTTTTGGTGGTGATCAGGATCAATAATTAATCAATAATCAATAATAATAAAAAATCGCTGCCTTGGCGGAGGTCTGCGCTCTTGGAGTGTTTTTCAAGTAATTACATAGAATCCTATGCGCGCCAAACATTTATTCTGTACAGTATATTATAATTCTAAGAAAACACTGAGTGAAATGCTTATGGCAATCTTTAATGGAGCGTGTTTGTAAGCAAGGTTCAAATCCCAGATCTGCTGCAGATCCCCCCTCCCCCGAGTCCGCCATCCCTGCCCAACCCCCCTTCCCCAAGTCCGTGTTTTAAAGAACGCTGGGAACTCACCAACTCAATATAGAGGTAAGACCCCAGTGTCCATTGAAATTCAAGGTGGTCACTGGATTTTGCCCAAGCTCCAGATGATGTAATACTGATAAAATATTTTGGCATATGACGAATTCTTGCCCATGGTTCATTTTTAGAGTCGGCGATTACAAGTACATCAAAGGATTCCCTGGGCCGTTCAGTGGCTGGGCCGTACCACCAAAGGTGCAACAATCCCAAAAGTATTTGAACTTGGATGATCACAGAGACAGCCTCGATGCCCTCCACAAATACATGCAGAATTCAAAAACTTTACCAGGATATTTGGGGCATGGACTGTATAATATAAGGGGTATGTTTTAAAAAATAAAATACTAAATAATTCTGTAATTGCTTGTTGGGGCTGTTCTTTCCAGTTAAACGCTTAAGGGTATACTTTACGCGTTTGATTTTTTCAAGGCTATTTATTCTGTGTGCAGACCTTAAAAATATAAAATCCCCCAAATTAAAGTGACTGACGTCGACAGTTTCTTTTGAAATGAACAGAAAGACTGACCAGTCATTTAGAACTAAATCACTGAATGAAAAATGGAATAAAAGATCTAATCCAAGTACAGTGACGGGTTGAGCAATGGTTAGTGAGCAGGAGAATTTTTTTCTCCCCTAGTAAAATTTATTTTGGCTGGTAAATCACATGCAGAGTACCTTTAATACGCAGATTACGTAGATTGTTTTGTTGCATTATTGTATTGTTCTGAATTTCTATTTCCCCCGCAGATGATCCTACGGAGCACAAAAATTTGGTCCTTACCATGCCCAAAGTTGTGCGAGAGTTGAGGATGAAGTTAAAATTGGCACAACAAGAGATGGTACCCGCGAATGCCCCACCGGGGGATAACAAAGGAAACCCGAACAATTTTGGGGGAGTTTGGACACCGGGATGGTGCTGATAATGTTGATATTACATGTACATTTACTATGGAATAGTGTCGGTTTAAAATGAATTGACTTGATGAAAAGTACTAACGAAGTTTTTTTTTAAACTTTTTTGTCATTTGATTTTTTTGTTTGTTTTTATGTTGGCTATTCTTTCTTCGGACTGAGGAAGGAGCTATAGTGCTTAAAATTTCTTTTAGCCATTTGTTTCATGCTATTTCATTTCAATATGATTTACGATTAAACTGATTTCTATGAAGAAAATATCGCCTCTCAGTAGCAAAAAAACATACCAATATGTATTTTTTAAATGGGTGAGTGAGGATAAATACAAGAGGCAAGCTGAGTGATGACGTGAATTCTATGCAAAAATACTCGCTGTTAAGGAAAGCACACATAATTGCCCGAGCACTATCTTTGAATAACTCGAAACAAATTCATCTGTGAACCTGGAGAAGGGAACAAGAAAGTACGCCACTGCAATATATCTTCTTCCATAAACTGAATATAAACTTAGCATTTTGGAATTATGTGATATAGTGTACTATGAAGAATTCTTGTTCTGAAATATTGGCTAACACATTTTCACTCTCTAATTTTATTTTATTGACCTGCACTTATGTAAAATGAATGGATACATAAATGAAATAATAACGTAATAAAAATCAAGTCAAGCGCTTTTCTCGAAAAGATAATGATAATAAATGGTTATCTACTGTAGTAGAATCAATATAGACATGAGTATACTGACAGTAATTTAATGGCCACATAAAAGCTCTGATTTGTGACAGTTTTGACCTACGTTTAAACAAAACCATACATTGAGAAAAAGAGAACCCTCGACCAAGGAGAGAGAGAGAGAGAGAGAGTCCAGAGTACGATGTTGGACTTCAGTTACCATATCCAACTATGTAAATATAGCATGGGTATATGCAGAATGGCTATCATTTACAATTTAAAAAGCTTTACCTTTCCTGATGTGACGTGACGAAATAATTTCAATGAGATTATCGTCCTACGCCTCCTCTTGTTTCCAACGCACTGGTACAATGTATAATCCAGATTTTGCGCAATGCGAGGAAAAGGCGTGTACATCTGTTAATCTGATTGCATTTAGCGAGAGTCCCAGCAGAGTTGGATCGATCTACGTAGAATGATAATTTCACTTGGAATGTGCCCCTAAAACTGCCCGGCTTCTGTGTGGCGCGGTCTTTTTGAGATTAAGAGACTAAAATAATCCCAGCAGACAAACTACATTGATTCACCGTTGAATCAACGTAGAATCAATGTCGTTTGCCTGCAGGGATATTGTTTTATTAATATTAATATTGTCACCATAAGACGTCATGTTTATCATTGACAACAATTTATAATAAAATAATAATAATAACAACATATAAACGACCAACTAGATAAATAATAATCATTGATTTTATTTTTTCACCAAGCACATACATGGTGAATCAACACTTGATCAGTTTTCTGGTGTGCACTGTAATGTACATGTACAATTTTTACGTTCATATCATATATCCAGTCCACTGAGTAACCAAAAGTAGGGAGTTTAATGTCGTCATCATAAATTGAACAGTGAAATAAAAAGTGCACTTGCTCCGTTGGAGCATCATCACAGAACGGCGTTTCTTCTCTCTCTCTCTCTCTCTCTCTCTCTCTCTCTCTCTGTGTGTTTATATAACCGTTGGAGTATATATATATATATATATATATATATATATATATATATATATATATATATATATATATATATATATATATATATGCTTTTACTTCACGGAGAGGGTTCATATCAGTGATAAAGGAGAAAATTATCCATATTTATTCATAAAAAAATGGCATACCCTATACTTGTAGATGATATCTTAGTGTATACATATATCCCGGTTTCAGTCCTAACTGGGAAGTTGTCAAGTCTGATATTTGGAACATGGGACCCTTCATTCTTTATTCAAGTTCAGCTTTGTGTGTAAGGCTCTTATGAATATGCATCTAAGATTCTTTTAATTTCGCGTCAGTATGTCTTTTAAAGCGACAGTCTCGGAACGAACCTCGGTTGTACCAGATTTCTCAGTGTAAACAATCCTACAGGTATGTGGATCACTGTTCGCTTGTGCGGAAGTACGCATGTATGAAGCCCTTAGCAACATTTCTGAGACCGACTGCTTTCACATGGAGATGGATTTCCCCAGGCACAGACCAGGACCAACAAGCCTTAATTCACATTCACGAGATGTTAAGCTTTGACAAGGGAAAGACTAACCACAGCCATTGGCTGCGGACCTAGAAAGTAAGTATTATTAGGCTGGGGTCTAAAGTTTGGAACCGGGAACTAATTTCTTTAAATTTCTTCTTCAAGGATAAATAAGATGATGACATGAAGAAGCCCTTAGCCACATTTCTGAGACGGACGGTGTTCCCCAGGCACAGACCACATCCCAGGACCCACAAGCCCATATCCACATTTACGAGATTGTTCACTTTGACAAGGCAAAGACTATGCACAGCAATTAGCCACGAACCTAAGTAAATACGGGGAACTGATTTCTTTTGTTTTCTACTTCAAGGATAAAGAAGATGATGACATGAAGAAACCATTAGCCACATTTCTGAGACGGACCGCTTTCACATGGTGATGAGTTCCACACTCTTCAGCCCTTGACCACAGTGCTTGTATGGTCCATTGTTAAAGTAAGTGTCATTGGGTGGGGTTTAGACTGTGAAATGGGGGGGGGGGGGGTCATACTAACAGTGGTAACGAGATGACGTGTCATTAGCCTTTGGCTACACAAAGGTGTAGGTAACATTCATGTAGAAATACTGGGGATAATCACTTTTTTCTTATACATACCGATATAAGAAAATTATGCATTTTATATAAACTGGATATGCATCATATCATCCACCAATGGAAAATATATTAAACAAAGTTTAATGCTTGAAAACGGCTATGAGGTGACAATTTTCAGAAGCTAATTATTACACTTTTTGTTTTTGGGGGTGAATCCATCCTAAGGATTGAAAATATTTTATTTATGACGAAAATATTCTTGCTTGCTTGGCTTTATATAACCCAAGCATTAACGTACTCACGAACTGTCCGTACTTAATTACACGCGTACGTTACAAGCATTCTATTGTGCCTTTAATTCAAAATTAAAATAAAGCAATAAAGCACAGAAATATGCATTAAGTAAGGCTCACAACATGTAGTATTGTTCACACGGGTAGCCTGCAGTTCAATTTTATCAATGGCCAACTTGGAATCATGACAAACGAAGCAAAGATAACCACTTTTTGATAGAATTAAGTGCCCAAGAAGCAAAAGGACATTGCAATACAGATAAATTATCAAAAAATAAATGTTTTTGATTTGCTTATTATTCAGTTTGATGTTTTTCAACATGCAAATCAAAATGATGTATGCTTTGAATCCAAAAATTGGCAGCCATTTTGGATTTTCAACCCTGAACAAAGTCTCAAAACAATTTAAATTATTCAGTCATACATTCCATATCATAACCCGTGCAATAAATTCTTCATTCTGAGATGTTTTATACTAAGAAAGGCTTGTTGACATATCAAAACAAAAAGCCTATTTCATGTGGTGGCCATCTTGGATTTGAGCCATCTGTATTCAAATATACAATTTTAAGATAAATTAACTGGTATAAATTAAAAATATAGACTTCAACTAATTCAAATCCATCAAAACGTTAAATATTTCTAATTTTTGGTTAATTGAAAAAAAAATCAAATTTATGTTTTTGTATTTTCACAAAAAGTAAGGAAAATGGCCACCATCTTGAATTCGGTCTCCACCTTCAAAAATGTAAAATGCCTGAAAAACCAAATAAGGCCTAAGTACTTGTGACCAGTGCAAATTTTGATTATATTTAGTTATTAAGTAACTTTAAAATCAATTTTTGTATGTACAGTTTACACATGAATTTATCGGCGGCCATCTTTGATTTTCGGTTTCCGGTACAAACGGACACCTGTACAAGCCGGAAACGAGCAGAAATGAAAAATTTAGATTCTAAACTACAAGAATCAATCATAAAACCTTTGCCTGACGGGGGTGCAGCCAAATCCTCAAATAAGGCCTTTTTTCAATTTGGGTCATGGACTAATTTCCAAAATAACTTTACTCAGTTTCAACAATGTATCGTCGAGAACGGATTTCGCATGATGTTTACCGGGTCTTGGGTACCTCCAAAGATGATGCTTTATTGAAAATATACGTAAATGTGTTTTAAGGGAAAAAGCAATTCTTTCACTGCTTTAAATAAGCATATGTATAAGTCTAAGCTTAGTTGATACATATACACCATGCATATATTGTACAAAATCATCACAGCAGTAGTGTAGGCCTATTTGCAAAATCGAACACCGGTTTTTGGTTGTATACCGAGTCCTCTCATTGGACCCGTTTACTTTTCTATATGTATCTGTAAATATCTTGTGGAACTGGTAGAGGGTACCTGTTTAGTGTCTGGCAGTTTGATACAAACATGAAGACCAAAACAGTATGAATTGTTGAACGTGTTTTGGCATTGATGAGAATCGAATACTAAGGACCATTTTGCTTGCTCAAAGTTTAGTCTTTTACGTTCTTCAAAGCTCAGTCCTTGCCGTCTGACATGAACACTCCCAGCTCAGAAATAGATTTTCTGGTTAATTTTTAACTCTGAAAGACCACGCCATCCCTTTTGTTCCTGTTTTGCATTGATACGCCACCCACGCGTGATCTTTATATCTTTATTTGCAGAGGGCGTCTAGTGCACGTGAGACGTTTATAAAGCATAATCATAATAAAAATAAAATTAATCCTTTTTTATTCCCCAATGCAAAACTGTTGAGAAAATCACGGTCTTTAAATTAAACCCGCTTTCGAGTTCTAATTTTTGCTCTGTTACGTGAAAGATTAACCTGTCTCCACCTCAATTACTGTTTTGGATTATGATATAACTTGGCGATGAGGGGGGAGTGTTGAAATCTCAAGGTAAAGTTATTATTACACGAACTACTTAATTAATCAATTAATTAATTTGTTTATTTTATCATTCATTCGTTATGTGTGTTATATATACGTCTCATTTTTACCTCTCCCGCGCCCCCTTTATTAATCAGTTTTTTTAAACTTTGGTTTCTAAGCTTGATTTCATTCGAATGATTTCTAATTTCAAACTATCGGTAAGACATGTACAGTGTTGAGAAATAACCAGGGTCGATATTTTAAATTCAGGAAATAAATATTTCGCAATTGTCTTGGTCTATATTGAACTTGTGAACTGACCCAAATGGGGACAGCGCAGGGCTCTGAATGGGTAGCTTTCACGTTACATTTCAAAATAGGGAAAAAAAAAGAAAAGAAGAAATTAGACACCCAGCGCGAACCAAAATAATATCGATGACATACTCATATGCTATTGAAAATAATCGACTGCTTCTTGAAACGAGCGATTCTGAGAAGAGACATTCTAAGTTACGGTTTAAAGTGTTCTAAGTTCACTTAATGAACTCAAATCCAAATCCTTTTTTGTCCTACATTTTGACCTCGACGCACATAGGCTTTTGACTTTTTATCGTGGCGTGGTCGTCTTATTTATTGACATTATTACATATTGTTTGCGTCATACTATCTTTATAGCACAGGCTATATAAAACACAACAGAAGACAGTGTCTTGGTCACAAATCATGGCTCCAGACAGATGTTGGACTGTGCTCGTGCTTGTTGCGGGTCTTTGCTCGAGTTTTACGTATGCCAAGCTTCCAAACATTGTGTTTATAGTTGCAGATGATTTAGGCAAGTCACAAGGGCACTCACAAGGGCCTACTTTCAAACATTTGGAAGTATATGTTCAGTTGGAAGAAAATATGCTATTTAATACAGCAGTGCAATCGAAGCAGGGGTGCATGATATAGCTGCTGTCGATGTTTTTTTGATCAAACAAAGGTGTCGTTTTTACTTATATATGCCTTTGATCTATTGTTACTGTTTCAGGCTTCAACGACGTGGGTTTTAACAACCCCGATATTTTGTCTCCCAACATCGATAAACTAGCCAGCGAGGGAGTGATCCTCAATCAGAGTTACGTCCACCCCTTATGCACACCGTAAGTAACACGTGCGTCAAATATATCTTGTTGACTTTTAAAGAATACTGCCCTGTAAGTCATACTTTAGTCAGTTTCTTGCCTTACAGCTTTGTTGCCAACGTTACATGGACACATGCACACGTCCTACCCTATCAGGAACATCCTAGCCAACTAGGAACTAAAGATTCTTTGTGAGACGGGGATCTGGTGTACATTGTTTAGCTGAGTTGCCAATATGTGACTCGGCCTCGGCTTACATGCAATGCTACAGATAAGTCATTCCTCACTCATGAGAAAATGTGGTCTTTTCTTTCGCTGTGCTTGTGTTGGTTACAAGGTTACATGATCCCGACGTCTTTAAACTGAGAGAGGTAAGCATTTTATATCCACTTGGCGCATAGTCGGAATTTTTTCTTCCCCTTTCCAGATCTAGAAGTGCCTTTTTGACAGGTCTGTATCCATGGAAGACGGGCTTGCAACACCAGGTTATATTTCCGCTGCAGCCGGTGTGTGCCCCTTATAATGTCACTCTTCTGCCAGAGGTGCTCAAAGAACAAGGCTATGCAACACATATTATTGGAAAGTGAGTTTTTTTGTTTACAACTATGTTGACATCATCCTTTTTATTGAATTATTCCAATATTATTGCAGTCACTTTTTTTTTTTTTTTTTTTGGGGGGGGGGGGGTACATGAGGGAGGGGAGAGCGTACATTTAGTTGGGAGAGGGAGTCTCTTTCCACCATGCGATTTCCGGGGCAGTCCGAAAATGCAGGGTACAAGCCGGACCGGGTGTTGAGTTGGTTGAGTGTTAACTGTTCTGACAGTATACTGTAGTCCGTTATATTATTTGCATAATCTACAAATGTAACATCTATATCCTAGTTTTAGCTTTTTCGTAATCATTCATTGATATAATCTAAAGGAATCATAAACATGTATTTGGTCTTTTTTTGTTTAATTTGAAGTTAGTTAGGCGTTATATTCTTCAGCTGATTTTTTTCTATTAACAAAAGATGGCACCTCGGCTTTTGCAACTGGAATTGCACACCAACCTACCGCGGTTTTGACAGTTTCTTCGGCTTTTACAACGGACAGGAAGATTACTATGCTCATACGCTAGGTGAGTTTAATTACCGCTATCTGTGCTGCTTGCTAACAGACTTTAAGAACACAATTATTGTAAATAAATAATGATAAGTTTATTTGGAAAAATATCCGTTTAAGACTGGGTCAGGGAAACAATGTGGTGCATCCTTATGTACAAAACAGCGACAATAATATTTTCAAGTTAAATTTAAAAAAAAAAATCATACATGTGTGTAAATGATCTTAAACATTTCAAACATATTAGTTGTTTATGCGACGCTTTTTTTACATCGCACTTTTGTTGAATTATGCACTATGTTATTTGAAGGTGTTAACGCGTTGGACTTATGGGACAACGAAAAGCCTGACCGGTTAGACGGTGGAATCTACTCAGCGGTAAGACTGGTCATAACATTTAATGCAGTATATCAACTATGCTATTCAAGGAAATGCTATTTTTATTCGTTTCTTCATGTAGGAACGCAATTTTTATGAACCAATACTAGATGTGCATGTATACCCTGTGATGTGAAAAGGTCATAATAATAATTATAATTATAATTATGATATTTATTTTGAGTCTAAAATCCAAATTTGTTCAGAAGACTTTATGCCAATGAATATTGTCAAAATATGTAAATCTGAACCTCATAAAATGCATTTACGTAGGCCCCTACATGTATCGACAGTTTATTTTCGCACGCTTTAACAATACCTCGATTATCAGAGATTATACCACGTATGCAAATGCTGGCATGTCGCTCCATTCCACTTGTCATTTAGGAGCTGTTCGCCAAGAGAGCCAAGCGCATTATCACCAACCACGACAAGAGCAGACCTCTCTTTTTGTACTTGCCTTTCCAGAATGTGCACGCTCCAGTACAGGTGAGCATTTCCTAATGATTTATACTTAGAATTTTCAGTATATTAAGATATATTTTATATAAGGGCGTTAAAGAATGTACAATGAATCATATATATCTTTTCACAAAAGTTCACAACACATTTCCACGTGAAGTAGTTTATTTCAGGTACATTTTAAAACTATTTTGCCTTTTTTTGTCAGGTCCCACACCGCTATTCAAACATGTATGCTCATATTCAAGATGAAACCAGAAGAAATTTTTCTGGTACGTTCAATTTGTTGATTTATTCTGTGTGAATTCAACGGCAAATATCTAAATTATAGAAAATTGCATTTTCACAGAAAAAAAAATGACATTTGACATTAATATTAAATATGCCCCCATTTCTCATTTTCAACGATGCTTTTTTTTTCTATCAATTTTTGTAAACTTAAAGTCATTGTATGACAGGTATGGTAAGTGCTATGGATGAAGCAATTGGAAACATCACAACTGCACTCAAAGAAGCTGGACTCTATGACAACACTCTGATAGCTTTTACGTCTGATGTGAGTATTCGTATACCAGTATATACTATCGAGACAAAGTAATTGATTTCATATATTACAAAACGTACTACATGTACTTGGCGAAAAACAGGGAGTTATCTTTTCAGCGTAATTAGCAGACATTTTATAATCTGACGGTGTCTTAATAAGAACACTAAAGGTGGCCCAAAGATTTCTGTGTTAATTGCTCTTTATTTGAAGAATGGAGGTAACCCTAACCAGGGAGGGAACAACTTTCCTCTTCGAGGTTCCAAGGATACTATTTGGGAAGGTGGCACCAGAGCGGTCGCATTCGTCCACGGCCCTATGCTACAGAAGACAGGATACAGGCACAACGGGTAGGTAACGGCGTATCGTTGGGTAAAAGAAAAAGGACAGAGCTGCTTCGATTTGAGATCAAATTAACTTATACCTCCTTAATTAAATGTAAGACGAAATGTGGTCTTAATATTTCGGTTTCGGATTAAGATATTTTGTGACTTAGACCTATGGCCTTAAAGAATTTTCGTGAGACACTTCCGCCACTCCTCTTGTCCAGATTTCATCGTATTAAATATTTTTCTTTGTTGTATATATGTCGTCTTTGAAGTCTAGTCTTTATTTTGCTCGTGGACAGACAATCTGGGTCACATTTAGTAGAGACTATTACTGAGGTATCAAAAAAAAAAAAAAAAAAAAAAAAAATGAGGGCGAAATAGAATAAACAGTTATGTACATTCCAGAAAATTCCACGCTGTCGATTGGTTCCAAACATTTCTTGCCGTTGCTGGTGCCTCTCCAGGTAATTCAAAGATTGTTGAGTATAATCCAGAGAGCAATAATTTTCACTTCAAAAAGACTAATATAATAACTATACATAAAACGTGGAATAACTATAAACATGATTTTTTTTCATATCTTTAGCTGCAAACAAAAGCATGGACAGTATGAACTTGTGGCCTATGCTGGAGCTTGGAAAAGATTCCGCTAGAACAGAGTTCGTCTATCACTTAGACAATAAACTCCCTCCACTCCAAGGGCATGCCGCTATCAGGTATCATGAAATATTTTTTTACATGGAATCCTAATATGTATTCTGCACAGTAAGCTTTAATTCTAAGAAAACACTGAGTGAAGTGCTTATGGCAATCTTTAGTTGAGTGTGTTTGTAATCAAGGATCTAATCCCAAATCTGCTGCAGATCACCCCCCTCTGAGTCTGCCACCCCACCCCGCCCCCACCCCCGAGTCCGTGTTTTAAAGGACGCTGAGAACTCACCAACTCAATATAGAGGTAAGACCCCAGTGTCCATTGAAATTCAGGGTGGTCACTGGATTTTGCCCAAGCTCCAGATGATCTAATACTAATATTATCTTTTGGCATATGACGAATTCTTGCCCATGGTACATTTTTAGAGTCGGCGATTACAAGTACATCAAAGGATTCCCTGGGCCGTTCAGTGGCTGGGCCGTACCACCAAAGTTTCAACAGTCCCGAAAGTATTTGAACTTGGATGATGACAGAGACAGCCTTGATGTCTTCCACAAATACATGCGGAAATCGAAAACGCTACCAGAATATTTTGAGCACGCACTGTTTAATATAAGGGGTAAGTTTTAAAAATGAAGCACTATATGTGTCTTATATTACTTGCTGGGAGGGGGGGGGGGCTTCCAGTTAAACACTTAAAGGTTACTTTATGCGTTTGACATTTTTTCAAAGTCCTGTATTCTGTATCTACATTTCCTGCAAAGCTTCAGCCCTTAAAAATATAAAACCGCTAAATAAAAGTGCCTGACTTTGACAGTACCTGTTGAAACTAAATCATTTAATTAAAAATGGACTAAGACAATCCAAGTGCAGGGACGGGTCAAGCCACAGTGAATGAGTAAGATAATTTTTCTCCCTAGTAAAATTCATTTCATAAATCCCGTATAGAGTACGTACCTTTTAAGTGTTAAGCAGATTACGTATAGTACATCGTTTTGTTGCACCCTTGATTTGTTCTGATTTTGTTCTCTCCCCGCAGATGATCCTACGGAGCAGAAAAATTTGGTCCACACCATGCCCCAAGTTGTGCAAGATATGAAGATGAAGTTGGAACTGGCACAGCAAGAGATGGTACCCGCGAATGCCCCACCGGGGGATAACAAAGGAAATCCGAACAATTTTGGGGGAGTTTGGACACCGGGATGGTGCTGATAATGTTGATATGCTACTATGGAATAATATCGGTTTAAAATGAACTGACACGAGAAATATGAACGGAAAGTTTATATAAGATTCCTGTTGTAATTTTTAAATTTTATTATTTATTCATTTATTCATTTATTTTATTTATTTTTATTTTATTTATTTTATTTTTCTGAAATATTGTCAAATACATTTTCACTCTCTAATCATATCGTATTTAGTGACCAACACCTATGTAAAATGAATAGATACAGTATATGAAATAATGCGCTTTACATAAAAAATCAAGTGAAGTACTTTTCTCGAAACGAGGAAAAAAAAGAGAGACATGAGTACACTGACGGTAATATAACGGCCACATGTTAAGTGTCTGGCAGTTTGATACAATCATGAAGACCAAAACATTATGAATTGAATGTTGAGTTGTTTATGCATTGATGAGAATCGAATACTAAGGACCATTTTGCTTGCTCAAAGTTTAATCTTTTACGTTCTTCAAAGCTCAGTCCTTGTCGTCTGAAACGAACACTCCCAGCTCGGAGACAGATTTTCAGGTTAATTTTTAACTCTGAAAGATCACGCCATTCCTTTCGTTCCTGTTTTGCACTGATACGTCACCCACACGTGATCTTTATATCTTTATTTGCAGAGGGCATGCAGTGCACGTGAGACGTTTATAAAGCATAATAATAATAATAATAATAATAATAATAATAATAATAATAAAATCCTTTCTAATCCTTTCTTAATCCTCAAGGTATATCCTATGCAAAACTGTTGAGAAAATCACAGTCTGCTTTCTTACGTGAAAGATTTTACTGTTTTGGATTATGATATTCCTTGGTCATGAGGGGAAAGTGTTGAAATCTCAAGGTAAAGTTATTATTACATGTACTACATTATTAATTAATTTGTTTATTTATTTATTATGTGTCATTCATTTATGAAATGTGTCATATATACGTCTCATTTTATCTCTCCCACCCACCCTAAATTAATCAGTTGTTTGAACGTTGGTTTCTAAGCTTGATTTTATTCGAATGATTTCTAATTTCTATCGGTAAGACATGTAAAATGTTGAGAAATAACCAAGGTTCATATTTTAAATTAGATAAATAAATATATCGCAATTGTCTTGGTCTATATTTAACTGCCTATATCTATATCTATATCTATATTATATATATATATATATTTAACTGTCTATCTATATATGACCCAAATGGGGACAGCGCAGGGCATGGGCAGCTTTCGAGTTACATTTCAAAATAGAAACAAAAAAGAAAAGAAAAGGAGAAATCAGACACCCAGTGCGAACCAAAATAATATCGATGACATATTCATATGCTGCTGAAAATAATAGACTGCTTCTTGCAAACGAGCGATTCTGAGACGAGACATCCTAAGTTACGCTTTAAAATGTTTTGCCCTACATATTGACCTCGCCTTTTTATTATCGTCCTATTTATTGACCTTATTGTTTGCGCCATACTCTATTTATAGCGTATATAGGCTATATAAAGCAAAATGGGCCAACAGAAGACAGTGTTTTGGTCACAAATCATGGCTCCAGACAAATGTTTGACTGTGCTCGTGCTTGTTGCGGGTCTTTGCTCGAGTTTTACGTATGCCAAGCTTCCAAACATTGTGTTTATAGTTGCAGATGATTTAGGCAAGTCACAGGTGTACTCGTAGGGGCCTTCCTTTAAAAATGTGGAATTACATGTTCAGATGGAAGAAAATATAGGCCTACTATTTAATACATCAGTGCAATCGACGCAGGGGTGCATGATATAGCTGCTGTCAATGTTTTTTGATCAAACAAAGGTGTCGTTTTTACTTATATATGCCTTTGATCTATTGTTACTGTTTCAGGCTTTAACGACGTGGGTTTTAACAACCCCGATATTTTGTCTCCCAACATCGATAAACTAGCCAGCGAGGGAGTGATTCTCGATCAGAGTTACGTCCACCCCGTATGTACACCGTAAGTAACATGTGCGTCAAATATATCTTGTTGTCTGTCTGGGACTGCCCTTAAACCTTAGGAACCTGGTCCCAGCTTCACAAAAAAAATGATAATAACAATAAAATTAAAAAAAATAATCATTTCCTTGGCTAACATCTTTGTTACCAACGTTACATGGACACATGCACACGTCCTACCCTAGCAGGAACATCCTAGCCAACTAAGGATTAAAGATTCTTTGTGAGACGGGGACCTGGTGTTCATTGTTTAGCTGAGTTGCCAATACGTGACTCGGCCTCGGCTTACATGCAATGTCTACAGATAAGTCAACCCTCACTCATGAGAAAATGTGGTCTTTTCTTTCGCTGTGCTTGTGTTGGTTACAAGGTTACATGATCCCGACGTCTTTAAACTTGGCTCATAGTCGGGAAAATTTTCTTCCCTTTTCCAGATCTAGAAGCGCCTTTATGACAGGTCTGTATCCATGGAAGGCGGGCTTACAACATGGAACTATACATCCGCTTCAGCCGGTATGTGCCCCATATAATGTCACCTTCCTGCCAGAGGTGCTCAGAAAACAAGGCTATGCAACACATATGGTTGGAAAGTAAGTTTTTTACCCTTTTTATTGTATAATTCCAATATTATTGCAGATACCCGAAGTCAATTTTTATGGGAGGGGGGGGGGGAGGGTACATGAGGGAGGGCAGAGCGTACATGTAGTTGGGAGAGGGAGTCTCTTTCCATCATGCGATTTCCGTGGCAGTCCGAAAATGCAGGGTGCAAGCCGGACCGGGTGTTTAGTTGGTTGAGTGCTTGTCAGATTTAACTGTTATGACACTATACTGTGGTCCGTTATATTATTTGCACAATCTACAAATGTAACATCTATATCCTAGTTTTAGCTTTTTCGTAATCATTCATTGATATAATCAAAAGGAATCATAAAACATGTATTTGGCCTTTTCTGTTTGATTTGAAGTTAGTAAGGCGTCATATACATCAGCTGATTTTTTTTCTATTAATAAAAGATGGCACCTCGGCTTCTGCAACTGGAACTGCACACCAACGTACCGCGGTTTTGACAGTTTCTTCGGCTTTTACAGCGGAATGGAAGATTACTATGCTCATACACGTGAGCTTTATTACCGCTTTCTGTGCTGCTTGCTAACAGACTTTAAGAACACAATTATTGTAAATAAATAATAATACGTTTATTTGGAAAACTATCCGTTTAAGACGGGGTCAGGGATACACCTCGGCTTCTGTACTGTAACTGGAACTGCACACCAACGTACCGCGGTTTTGACAGTTTCTTCGGCTTTTACAACGCCAAGGAAAATTAACATGTGAAATTGTGCAAGATTTACAACATAACGAAGATGGTTTCAATAATCTTACTTTATTCAAACTTCTTGCACTGTGTTATTTGAAGGTGACAACGGATTGGACCTACGTGACGACGAAAAGCCTGACCGTTTAGACGGAGGAATCTACTCAGCGGTAAGACTGGTCACAACATGTAATGCAGTATATCAACTATGATATTCAAGGAAATGCTATTTTTATTCGTTTCTACATGTAGGTACGCAATTTTTATGAACCAATACTAGATGTGCATGTATACCCTGTGATGTGAAAAGGTCGTAATAATAAAAATGATTATAATTATAATATTTATTTTGAGTCTAAAATCCAAATTTTTTCAGAAGACTTTATGCCAATGAATATTATCAAAATATATAAATCTGAACCTCATGAAATACATTTACGAACATGTATCGACAGTTTATTTTCGCACGTTTTAACAATGCCTCGATTATCAGAGATTACACTACGTACACAAATGACAGAATCATAGTTGCATGTCACTCTATTCTTCTTGTCATTTAGGAGCTCTTCGCCATGAGAGCCAAGCGAATTATAACCAACCACGACAAGAACAGGCCTCTCTTTTTGTATTTGCCTTTCCAGAATGTGCACGCTCCAGTACAGGTGAGCATTTTTACACTAAGAATTTTAGTGTTATGTTAACATATTTTATATATATGGGCGTTAAAGAATGTACAATGGATCTTTTCACAAAAGTTCACATCACATTTCCACGTAAATGGTTTGATCGTGAAATAGTTTATTTCAGGTACATTAACTATTTTGCCTTTGTTGCCAGGTCCCACGCCGCTATTCAAACATGTATGCTCATATTCAAGATGAAACCAGAAGAAATTTTTCTGGTACGTTTAATATGTTGATTGATTCTGTGTGAATTAGACCGGAAGCACTTTAACTATACAAAAATGTATTTTAAAACAAAAAAGCATGGCATTTAAATATAAGATATGTCTCGATTTTTTTTAATTGTTCTGATTGTTTTTTTTTTTATTTTTTTTTTATTTATTATTTTTTTTTTTTTTGTCAATAATATTACATTCTTGTAAACTTAAAGTCATTAATCGACAGGTATGGTAAGTGCTATGGATGAAGCAATTGGAAACATCACAACTGCACTCAAAGAAGCAGGACTCTATGACAACACTCTGATAGCTTTCACGTCTGATGTGAGTATGTCATATACCAGTATAGGCTACATATTGTGTACTACTGTTTCAAATTCAATAAATTTCATGTGATGCAGAACATTCTACTTAGCGAAAAAACAGAGAATAATAATATTTTAAAATCTGACAGTGTCTGAATAAGAACGCTAAAAATGACCCGAATATTTCTGTGTTTATTGGTCGTTAATTGAAGAATGGAGGTAGCCCTTTCCGGGGAGGGAACAACTTTCCCCTTCGAGGTTCCAAGGCGAGTATTTGGGAAGGTGGCACCAGAGCGGTTGCATTCGTCCACGGCCCTATGCTACAGAAGACAGGGTACAGGCACAACGGGTAGGTAACGGCGAATCTTTGGGTAAAAGAAAAAGGACAGAGCTGCTTAGATTTGAGATCAAATTAACTTATACCTCCTTAATTAAATGTAAGATGCAAAGTTGGCCTTAAGCTTTCGGTTTCAGATTAAGATATTTTGTGACTTAGACCTATAACCTTAAAGAATTTTCGTGAGACACTTCCGCCACTCCTCTTGTTCAGATTTCATCGTATTAAATATTTTTCTTTGTTGTATATATGTCGTCTTTCAAGTCTAGTCTTTATTTTGCTCGTGGACAGACAAACTGGGTCACATTTATTAGAGACAGTTACTGAGGTATCGAAAAAAATGAGGGCGAAATAGAATAAACAGTTATGTACATTCCAGAAAATTCCACGCTGTCGATTGGTTCCAAACCTTTTTGGCGGTTGCTGGAGGCTCTCCAGGTAATTTTTCGTAAAGATTGTTGAGTATAATTCAGACAAACAATTTACACTTCAAAAGGATTAATAGAGTTACAATTCATAAAACGTTTGGAGTTTCTTTATGAATATGATTTTTGTCATATCTTTAGCTGCAAACATCAACATGGACAGTATGAACCTGTGGCCTATGCTGAAGCTTGGAATAGATTCCGCTAGAACAGAGTTCGTCTATCACTTAGACAATAAATCCCCTTCACTCCAAGGGCATGCCGCTATCAGGTACTATTATTAATTCATTAAATTTTTTTATTACATGGAATCCTATCTGCACCAAGTATGTACTCTGTACAGTATATTATAATTCTAAGAAAACACTGAGTGAAGTGCTTAATGACAATCTTTAGTGTATTGTGCGTTTGTAAGCAAGGTTCAAATCCCAGATCTGCTGCAGATCCCCCCTCCTCCGAGTCTGCTACCCCTCCCCATCCCTGAGTCCGTGTTTTAAAGGACGCTGGGAACTCCCCTCCTCAACAAAGGAAACGAAATTCAGGGTGGTCAAGGGATTTTCCCAAGCTCCAGATGATCGTATACTGATATAATCTTTTGGCATATAATGAGTTCTTGACCATGGTACATTTTTAGAGTCGGCGATTACAAGTACATCGAAGGATTCCCTGGGCTGTTCAGTGGTTGGGCTGAACCACCAAAGGTGCAACAGTCCCAAGAATATCTGAACTTGGATCATGACAGAGACAGCCTTGATGCCTTCTACAAATACATGCAGAAATCAAAAACTTCACCAGGATATTCAGGGCATGGACTGTATAATATAAAGGGTATGTTTTTTTTAAATAAAATACTAAATATTTCTGTAATTGCTTGTTGGGATGTTCCTTCCAGTTAAACGCTTAAGGGTCTACTTTACGCGTTTGATTTTTTCAAGGCCACTTATTCTGTGTGCAGACCTTAAAAAAATAAAATCCCCCAAATTAAAGTGACTGACGTCATCAGTTTCCTTTGAAATGTACAGAAAGATTGACTAGTTATTTAGAATTAAATCACTGAATGAAAAAATAAAATAAAACATCGAATCCAAGAGCAGTGACGGGTTGAGCAATCGTTAGTGAGCAGGAGAATTTTTTCTCCCAAGTAAAATTCATTTTGGTAGGTAAATTATAGAGTACCTTTTAAGTGTTACGCAGATTACGTATATCGTTTTGTTGCATCATTGTATTGCTCTGAATTTCTTTCTTCGTAGATGATCCTACGGAGCACAAAAATTTGGTCCAAACCATGCCCCAAGTTGTGCAAGAGATGAAGAAGAAGTTGAAACTGGCACAGCAAGAGATGGTACCAGCGAATGACCCACCGGATGATAACAAAGGAAACCCGAACAATTTTGGGGGAGTTTGGACACCGGGATGGTGCTGATAATGTTGATGTGCTACATGTACATTTACTATGGAATAGTATCGGTTTAAAATGTACTGACATGATGAAAAAAACTAACGAAAAATTTTTAAAAAACATTTTTTGTCATTTGATTATATTTGATTGTTTTTATGTTGGCTATTCTTTCTTCGGATTGAGGAAGGAGCCATGGTGCTAAAATTTTCACTTAGCCATTTATTTCAAGCTATTTCATTTCAGTATGATTTACGATTAAAGTGATTTCTATGAAGTAACGATTTACTGTTTGGGATTCTCATTTAAATGCTTCGAAAATATCGTATCCCTTAATAGCAAAAAGCACATTTTAATTAAAATATGTATTTATAAAATGGGTAAGTGAGGATAAATATAAGAAAAATACTCTCTGCCAGAGGCAAGCTGAGTGATGACGTGAATTCTATGCAAAAATACTCGCTGTTAAGGAAAGCACACATAATTGCCCGAGCACTATCTTTGAATAACTCGAAACAAACTCATCTGTGGTCCTCGAGAAGGGTACAAGAAATACATCTTCTTCCATAAACTGAATATAAACCTAGCATTTTGGAATCATGTGATATAATAAATGATTCCCTGTTCTGAAAATATTGGCAAACACATTTTAACTCTCTAATTTTATCGTCTTTGGTGACCTGCACTTATATAAATTGAATGGATACATAAATGAAATAATAAAGCGCTTAACGTAATAAAAAATCAAGTCAAGCGCTTTTCTCGAAAAGAGAATGATAATAAATGGTTATCTACTATAGTAGAATCAATAAAGACATTAGTATACTAACAGTAAATTAATGGCCACATAAAGGCTCTGAGTTGTGACAGTTCTGGCCTCCATTTAAACAAAACATACGTTGAGAAATAGATAGAGAACCTTCGCCCAAGGAGAGAGAGCGCTTCGAATACCCTATTATACAAATATACATGTAGCATGGGTATATGCAGAATGATTATCACTATTATCACTTACAATTTTTAAATTGTAAATTTAAAAATACCTAATCCTACGCCGCCTCTTGTTTCCAACGCACTGGTATATTCCAGATTTTTTGTAATGCGAGAAGGCGTGTTAATCTGACTGCATTTAGAGTCCCGTAGAGTTGGGTCGATTTAAGTAGAACGATAGTTTCACTGGGAATGTGCCCCTAAAACCGGTCGGTTTCAGTGTGGTGCAGTCTGTTTGAGATTAAGAGACTAGAAGAAGCTTATTTTCTTATGGTGACATGGGGTTTCCGTCCTGGTGGACCCATCTTTCACCATAACATGTCATCTTTATCAAGATCAACAATTTCTAATAAAATAATAATGATAAATAAACGGTCATCTACACAAATAATAATCATTGATTTAATTTTTTTTGCCAAGCATGCACATGGCGTGTCAAATACTTGGCCGGTTTTCCGGTGTACATCGTCAAGTGAATTTTTTGCGTCTATATATATCGTTCATGTTATTTATCCAGTCCATTGAGTAACCAAAGATAGGCAGTTTAATGTCGTCATCATAAATTGAACAGTGGAAGAAAAAGTGCACTTGCTCTGTTGGCCCATCATCACAGAACGGTCTTTCTTCTCTCTCTCTCTCTCTCTCTCTGTGTGTGTGTGTGTGTGTGTGTGTTTATATAACCTTTGGAGTATATATATATATATATATATATGTGCTTTTTCTTCATGGAGAGGGTTCATATCAGTGATACAGGAGGAAATTATCCATATTTATTCCTAAAAATAGCATACCCTATACTTGTAGATGTATGGGAGATTTGTGTTTTCATGTAAATAAAATAAAATAAAAACATCTGTGAAATAATTGGTAATTTCCACATGATGGGTTCGTCTTAGTGTATACATATACATATATCCCGGTTTCAGTCGTAAGTGGGACGTTGTCAAGTCTGATATGTGCAACACGGGACCCTTCATTCTACACGTATAGGCTATTCTAGTTCAGCTTTGTGTGTAAGGCTCTTATGAATATGCATCTAAGATTCTTTTAATTTCGCGTTAGTCTGACTTTTAAAGCGACAGCCTCGGAACGAACCTCGGTTGCATCAGATTTCTCAGTGTAAACAACTCAATGCGGATCACTGTTCACATGTACGTGCACATGGCCTCTCAAATGCCCTGCGGTATTGTAACTAACCGTCATGGTGGACATCAGGTCGACGTCTTCCAAGTACATTGCGGCAATTAGGGGGTTGGGTATGATTTTCTTCTGAAGTCATTATCACATTTGCTTGTTCTCTTCCAAATTAATACATATTTATTTCTTTTTTTGAATAAAAAGGACTCGAGAAACAACAATGATAAATGTATTTTATAGGTAAGGGTACATGAAATACAATGTTATTTCGGTCTCACTGTCCTACGACACCCCCGAGTTCAAATTGACAACATATTTACGACAACTACGCCCCCACACGGCTATTTGAAAGAATAAGAGCGCGAAATTACGAACTTGTGATCACTCAACGGCGGACAGAAGAACAGGGAGGATGTCAAGCTGCATTTCTTTGGGGACCCGTCTTCAAATCCCGTTTTCATCCTACGCAAACGCATCGCCCTTCAGGATATTGTTCCTTGCACCGCAGTACACGGAGCACTACGTTTTCCGTCGTCCTCTCGGAGTTCGACGCTTCGTCTCACGGGCCCGGAGTCATCGCTCAGGAAAATGTTTGCTCAAACAGCGTAACGCTCATCGCCTGCTCGTCGAATAACCTTCGCAGGATACCATTTCTTCTCTAAAAAGAAAGAAAACTTGGACCTTGAAATATATATTGCCTATTTCGGTTCTCGTCTGGGGCTATCAGGCCTTTATTCACACAGTTTCTTCCTCTGCCATGTTTCTTGGCATTTCTTTGTTGTTTTGATGGCGGCTTGAAGTAGCCTACTGGTATGTTGTTATTCCACTGTCGTTTTCCCACTTTCTAGTCGTTTTTTTTTTCAGACACAATTAGTTGTGTAGTAATCTTAGCATCTTCTAAGCTTTCATCTGGGGCGGCCGATGTTGAAGACCTACATTGGCCACATTCATTAGACGGTTCACTTCGACAAGGCAAAGACGACACACAGCCATTGGCCAGGGACCTATGTAAGTAGAGAGTAAGTATTTTTGGGTGAGGGGTTAAAGTTTGAGACCGGTAACTAATCTCTTTATATCTCTTCTTCAAGGTTATAGAAGATGATGACACGAAGACGCCATTAGCCGCACATCTCAGACGGGTTGAATCCCCCAGGCACAGACCACATCCCAGGACCCACAAGCACATATCCACATTCACGAAATGGTTTACCTTGTCAAGGCACGGACCTAAGTAAGTAGAAAGTAAGTATTATTGGGTTGGGGGTGAAAGTTTTTAAGACCGGAACTAATTTCTTTAAATCTCTTATTCAAGGTAATAGNATCGTCTTTAGTGACCTGCACTTATGTAAATTGAATGGATACATAAATGAAATAATAATGCGCTTAACGTAATAAAAAATCCAGTCAAGCGCTTTTCTCGAAAAGATAATGATAATAAATGGTTATCTACTATAGTAGAATCAATATAGACATTAGCATACTAACAGTAAATTAATGGCCACATAAAGGCTCTGAGTTGTGACAGTTCTGGCCTCCATTTAAACAAAACATACGTTGAGAAATAGATAGAGAACCTTCGCCCAAGGAGAGAGAGAGTCCAGCGCTTCGAATACCCTATTATACAAATATAGCATGGGTATATGCAGAATGATTATCACTATTATCACCTACAATTTAAATACCTAATCCTACGCCGCCTCTTGTTTCCAACGCACTGGTATATTCCAGATTTTTTGTAATGCGAGAAGGCGTGTTAATCTGACTGCATTTAGAGTCCCGCAGAGTTGGGTCGATTTAAGTAGAACGATAGTTTCACTGGGAATGTGCCCCTAAAACCGGTCGGTTTCAGTGTGGTGCAGTCTGTTTGAGATTAAGAGACTAGAAGAAGATTATTTTCTTATGGTGACATGGGTTTTCCGTCCTGGTGGACCCATCTTTCACCATAACATGTCATCTTTATCAAGAACAACAATTTCTAATAAAATAATAATAATAATAACAATAAATAAACGGTCATCTAGATAAATAATAATCATTGATTTAATTTTTTTCGCCAAGCATGCACATGGCGTGTCAAATACTTGGCCGGTTTTCCGGTGTACATCGTCATGTAAATTTTTTACGTCTATATAGGCTATATATCGTTCATATTATTTATCCAGTCCATTGAGTAACCAAAGATAGGCAGTTTAATGTCGTCATCATAAATTGAACAGTGGAAGAAAAAGTGCACTTGCTCTGTTGGCCCATCATCACAAAACGGTCTTTCTTCCTTTCCTCTCTCTCTCTCTCTCTCTCTCTCTCTCTCTCTCTCTCTCTCTCTGTGTGTGTGTGTGTGTGTGTGTGTGTGTGTGTGTTTATATAACCTTTGGAGTATATATGTGCTTTTTCTTCACGGAAAGGGTTCATATCAGTGATACAGGAGGAAATTATCCATATTTATTCCTAAAAATAGCATACCCTATACTTGCAGATGTATGGGAGATTTTTGTTTTCATGTAAATAAAATAAAATAAAAACATCTGTGAAATAATTGGTAATTTCCACATGATGGGTTCGTCTTAGTGTATACATATACATATATCCCGGTTTCAGTCGTAAGTGGGACGTTGTCAAGTCTGAAATGTGCAACATGGGACCCTTCATTCTACATGTATAGGCTATTCTAGTTCAGCTTTGTGTGTAAGGCTCTTATGAAAATGCATCTAAGATTCTTTTAATTTCGCGTTAGTCTGACTTTTAAAGCGACAGCCTCGGAACGAACCTCGGTTGCACCATATTTCTCAGTGTAAACAACTCAATGTGGATCACTGTTCACATGTACGTGCACATGGCCTCTCAAATGGCCTGCGGTATTGTAACTAACCGTCATGGTGGACATCATGTCGACGTCTTCCAAGTACATTGCGGCAATTAGGGGGTTGGGTATGATTTTCTTCTGATTTTCTTCTTCTTATCACATTTGCTTGTTCTCTTCCAAATTAATACATATTTATTTCTTTTTTTTGAATAAAAAGGACTCGAGAAACAACAATGATAAATGTATTTTATAGGTAAGTGTACATGAAATACAATGTTATTTCGGTCTCACTGTCCTACGACACCCCCGAGTTCAAATTGACAACATATTTACGACAACTACGCCCCCACACGGCTATTTGAAAGAATAAGAGCGCGAAATTACGAACTTGTGATCACTCAACGGCGGACAGAAGAACAGGGAGGATGTCAAGCTGCATTTCTTTGGGGACCCGTCTTCAAATCCCGTTTTCATCCTACGCAAACGCATCGCCCTTCAGGATATTGTTCCTTGCACCGCAGTACACGGAGCACTACGTTTTCCGTCGTCCTCTCGGAGTTCGACGCTTCGTCTCACGGGCCCGGAGTCATCGCTCAGGAAAATGTTTGCTCAAACAGCGTAACGCTCATCGCCTGCTCGTCGAATAACCTTCGCAGGATACCATTTCTTCTCTAAAAAGAAAGAAAACTTGGACCTGGAAATATAT